AGTGTAGCAAGCAGCTACCAGGAGCAGAGATGCCAATGCCTCACCTTGGTTGTACTTTCTTCCCATTGACATGCTCTACTGGGCTGACCTACCTATATTGAACGCAGAGTCGCATCTCTAAAATGCTGTTTCCAAGAGGCCAAATAGTCCTTGAGAACTTCCCCAGAGCAAAGTTCGCTCTGACATTTAAAAAATATATGTTTTATTTATTTGACAGACCAAAAGGGAGAGACCCCACCTGCTGGTTCACTCCCTCTGTGGCCTTGAGGACTAAAGCTGGGTTGGGTTGCAGCCAGGAGCTCAGAACTCCATCTGGGTCTACTGCGTGGAGTGCAGGGGCCCAAGTACCGGGACTGTCTGCTGCTGTCTGCCCAGCTGCAGGAGCAGGGAGCTGGGTGAGACACACAGCAGCCAAGACACAAGTCGGCACTGGGCTCTGGGATGCTAGTGTTGTAAGCATGCTCCAGCAGCCTCGTGGAGCGGTTCAGACCTGATGCTGTTTGTTTATAGCGGGGAGGGTCTCTAGAAAGGTCACCCAAGGACTGGTCTGCCGGAGTCCAGCTCCAGCTGAGTTCGGAACTCGAGAAGGGTGCGTGGATGAGGCGTAAAGAGGAAAGAAAGAGACGGACCACTAGGATTTGCAAGATATTGACCTCCAAGCTCAGGCTGAGCAAAAGGTTAACCTCGCAGTAGCAAATGCCAGGATGGATTAGAATTCTTCCGCAGGGTGGTCCGGTGTCCATGCAAAAGAAGGTGGAGCTACATTCTGGTGGTTGTAGAGACATCCGCTGGGCGGGCCCTGCCGAACAGCGGGAAATTCCTTGCGGCCCTGCCTGCAATGGAACACTCTCACCCACTCATGTCCCCCACATATACTGCAGGGACCCCAACACTGGTCCACATCCATCATTTGTCCTCATCTGTCACAGGGATCAGGGTTTGTGCTTTGTTATGTATCCCTTGGGCTTTGTTTTTCACAGCCTGCCAACGGCCAGGCTCCCAGCGCTCCAGGCTGCACACCAGCACAAGACAAACGTGAGGGGCAGGAAGCTGGTGCTGCGACCAGAGAAAATTATGCTATTCCAGCTGTAAGACAGTATGCTTGAATACGTTCAGCTCCTTAATACAACACCAAAGAACTACAACTACAGGAAGCACAATTCAATTGGGAGGCGCCAGCATTGCGGTCCAGTGGCTAAGTCACCACTTGTCACGCTGGCATCCCATAGGTGTGCTAGCTTCCATTCTGGCTGTTCCACTCCAGCCAGCTCCCTGGGAAAGCAACGGAAGATGAGTGCTTAGGCCCCTGCACACATACGGGAAACTTGGAAGATGCTCCTGGCTCTTCTTGTGGCCATGTTGGGAGTGAACCAGTGGATGAAGACCACTCTGTTTTTTCTAATCCTGCCTTTCAAACACATAAATATTTTTACAAGACAAACAAACAAACAAAAAAATGAGGTTCTCCAAGTTCAAGTCGGAGTTAAAGCTTTCAACAGAACTTTCTGGAATGTCGCTGATGATTCAACATTTCTCCGTGGGAGTTTTTATTAATTGCTGAAAAAGTCTTTTTTTTTTTTCCCCCCATCACTACCACCCTAATGCTTTGGTATTCACTCACACTTGCAATCTAAAATTAAAGCCTTAACGGGCCGTCCACAACTACCTGACAATCCTCCCTCCTCCCAGCCCTGAGGGGTTGCCCAGACCTTGGCCTTGGAGAGGGTCTCTCCGGCAATCCAGAGGAAGCACAGCTGCTCCCAGGCCACTGCTAGGCCTTCCAACTTAACAGAGTGCTGGGAGCTGAGCCCACGGCCGCTGGGAGCGCGCCGCGGTGCCGCGCCGACTTCCGCTTTGCTGGAGCGCGCGCGCGGGCGGGTGCGCGCGGGCATGCAGGCGGGCGGGCGGCTGCAGGGTCCCCTGCCCCGGCGCGGCCCGCCCCCCGACCCCTGCACCCCGCCCCGGGCCCTGACTGCGCAGGAGGGCGGGGCGGAGGGCCGGCCGCGGCGGACGCGGCTGTTAAGGGGGCCGCTCCAGCCGAGCGCAGGCGGCGCAGCCCGAGCAGGACGCAGCCACGCCGGTGCGGCGGTGAGAGCGGGCGGCTGCGGGGAGCCCGCTGTGACGAGCGGGCGGGACGCGCGAGGGCGGGCCTGGGCGTCCGGCGGCGTGACCTTCCCGGGCGGCGAGGAAGCGACTGGCCGCGCTGGACACGTGCTGCGGGACCCGTGCGCCGGCGTGGCGTGGCGGGCGCGCCGGAGACGCGGGGTTCCTGGCGCTGTTCCCGCAACGCCCACCTAGCTGGGCAGCAATGCCCTCCTCTGCTCTCAAGAGGTGCCCCCGGGGAGCTCGAGGCGCTGATGAATGGAAGTTGGCGCTGTGCTTAGTGGGTTGCTGGGCAGCAGGACCTGGAAGTGTCCCCGCCAACCTGCTCTTCGCCGGGTCCCTGAGGACTCGCTTCTTGCCGGGCTCCTCAGTGGTGAAGCTGGTTTGCATCCCAGCAGCCGGCTCCCGCTGGAGCTGGAATCTCCCCCTTAGCAGTTTGTGTCTCCTGGTGGAAAAAGTTGGCCTCGTTGGGTTCTCCCATCTGATCCAATTACTTTCCCCAGAGAAGAGTGGTGGCTGGTGCTTGCATTATGGGCTCTCCTGAAGTCGGACACTGGTGTAGCTTGCTGCAAGCGCGGTCAAAGGACGTTGAAAGGGTTGATATTCTGCTATAAGCGGCAGCTCAGGCTACTGATTCATGCTGCTTAGTCTTGGTGCCTGCAGGCCCTGGCTTGGCATAACCTGAAGTTCTTGCCTCTCTCTCCTGGCGTCCTGTCAGTACCCATCGATGTTCTTGAGTAATTCTCCGGTAGTTATTTGTAGGATTGAATCTGCTAAAGTATGGCTTGGAGAAGGGGTTGTGGTCACACCGACCATATGGTGAGCGTCCACAGAGGTTTATTAGGAAGGCCACAGCAATTGTGACCATCCATGCGCGCCTGTTTCTCCATGACCTCCCGTTATTTTTTCCTCATAAGGTGTAGGCTGGGACGTGTGTGTTGATACTCTGGGGTTCAGCATTGCTTTCTAGGCACAGACTTTGAAAGGCAAAACTTCAAGTTGAAGCATTCCTGGAGAGAGGGGATTGCAGTCAGGATCCTGAAACTTTCTGGGAAAATACTTGCCACCTCATGGGAGCAGTTGGTGCTACTCTGTTTCTAGGGCTAGCAGGAACAGCACATCCTGGTTGGTACTTCTGGATGAGAGACTGGCTTTTGTTGTTGTTTGCTGGGAGTGACTTGTGGGCTGCAGCACATCAGTGGTTGAACACTGCTTGCTGGCTACTGTTATTTTCTGCTGATATTTAGGATGTGGCTAGTACTCACAAGAATGTGGCCATCTTCTCTGATCTGGCATCAAGTGCCCCCACCACCTCCTATGAGGGGTGGGCTCATGGGGGTCCTCCCACTCCTCCCTATCATGACAAATGAAAATTGTTCGTTGTATTCATGAATCAGTCAATTTGAAAACCATATAACGGAGTTGGTTTTCAGTCTTCTATGTGAATGAGCCACCTTTATTTTATAAATTGTAAGAATTTTTCTTTTGGGGGGGGGGTCAAGGCAGATTGAGAAAGAAGAGATGGAAGAGAAGATCTCACATGCACTGGCTCACTGCCCAAATGGCTGTGATGTCCAGGGCTAGGCCAAAGCCAGAAGCCCACATCTGAGTCTCCCACATGGGTGGCAGGGGCCCAAATGCTTGGGCCACCTTCTGCTGCTTTCCCATGCTGGGAACAGGCAGTGGGGCAGTTGAAACTTGAACTGGCGCCCCGCATGGATGGCTTAGCCTGCTGTGCGCCCTTTGTTTTATTGGAATGTGTTAGCCTGTGCCTTGGCAGTAGTTGGTTTTTCTCTAAAGGTGGAGAAATAGACTCCAGATTTCTCAAACTCCTAGGCTGCAACCCAGTCCCTCCACATCCAAAGTTTCTGGAGGAGAGCCCTGGCAGTGTGAAGATTTAACAGGTGTCTTCAGAGATTTTTTTTTTTAATCCAGCAGATTTGAGCTGCAACATTGCAGGTGCCGCGCTGCCAAGTAGATCTGTGACCAGGCCTTCCCAGCTGCCCTGGTGCCCCCTTGGGAGCCTGTAGACTCAGTCTGTGATTTGGGACATCTGTAGCTGGATTACTTATTCAGTGTTCAGAGCTGGACTGGTCCAAACCTTGGCACCAGGAGCTGCTTCTAGGTCACCCACGTGGGTGCAGGGGGACTCAAGGTCTTAGGCCATCTTTTTTTTTCTTCTTTAAAGATATATCTATTTTTATTGAAAATTCAGATTTCTAGAGAAGAGAGATAGAAAGATCTTCAATCTGTTAATTCACTCCCCCAGATGGTCACAATGGACAAGCTGAGCCAATCTGAAGGCAGGAGCAAGGAGCTTCCTTCGGGTCCCCCATGCAGGTACAGGGTCCCAAGGCTTTGTGCCATCCTTGACTGCTTTCCCAGGCCACAAACTTGGAGCAGCCAGGATCCAAACAGGTGCCCATATGGGGATCCCAGTGCATGCAGGGGTAGATTAGTCAATTCAGCCATTGCACCAAGCATATTGAGCCATCTTTTCCTGCTTTCCCAAACCATTAGCAGGGAGCTGAATCAGAAGGGGAACATCCAAAAACCAGTGCCTGTATGGGATGCTGGCACCCTGGGCAGAGCCTTAGCCAACTGTGCCATGGTAATAACCTCTGTGCTCCACTTTAAGGTTCTTAGAGAATTTGGCTGAAGTGCTGCTGGTGGCGGGGGCATTGATGCTTGGAGGGGCTTTGGACATGTGAGTTTTTTACAGGGCAGTTGATCGCTGAGCTGCACAGATACCTTGAGCTCCCTTCCTTTGGGACAGTGTGTACGTGTTGTGGGGTAGGGATGGAGGGCATCTGTTCTCCCAAAAGTTAGGCTGCGCAGGCGCGTGGAGCACAGGAGCCACTGGGCTGTGCTAATGCTGAGCTCTTGCCTCCTCCCAGGGAGTATGCGGTACCCATTGTGAGCATCAGGGAGCTGTCCTCTGCAGAGACCGGAGACTAGAGACACCGGCAGCATGAAGTCCAATCCTGCCCTCCAGGCTGCCATCGACCTCACAGCTGGGGCTGCAGGTAATCCCACAGGAATCTCAGGCCCCCCTGCACTTCCCAGCTGCCTTGTAAGCTAGATCTGGGCAGTGTGGTGTGACTCTCTGGCCAGCATCACCCCTGGGAGCCACGTGTTTTACCCACAGCGGGAATCCATTTCACGGGAATGCGATATCATCTGGAGCTTATCAAAAGGCAGAGCAGTATGTGTTGTATTAAAAAGCATCTCGGCTGAGACGAAGTTCCTTGTCCCCTGCTACATGGCTGGAATGTGTGGGGCATGGGTCTCGTATCCAGGGATGGCCACATCAGGCCTTTGTGGTGTAACAGTCACCCCGTCAGTTCACCTGATGCATTCCCAGTTATGGTTCTTTTTATTTTTTTATTTATTTTTATTGGAAAGGAAGATATACAAAAAGGAGGAGAGGCAGAGAGGAAGATCTTCTGTTTGATGGTTCACTCCCTAAGCAGCTGCAACAGCTGGAGCTGAACCAATCCAAAACCAGGATCCAGGAGCTTCTTCTGGGTCTCCCATGTGGGTGCAGGATCTCAAAGCTTTGGGCTGTCTTCCACTGCCTTCCCAGGCCACAAGCAGGGAGCTGGATGGGATGAGGGGCCGCAGGGATTAGAACTGGCGCCCATATGGGATCCCAGCACATTCAAGGCGAGGACTTTAACCACTACACTATCTCACCGGGCCCCCCAGTTATGGTTCTTTGAAGTAGGCAGAAAGGGAGGAAGACGTCCGGTTAGAAACAAGCCTGGTGCCTCACAGGGCAGGAGAGCTCAAGGATCTGCAGCAGTGGCCCAAACCCAGCAGCCTGGGCTCAAGGGGACAGAGGCTGCAGCTCAGTGTGGGCATCTCAGCCTGACACTAGTGACACACTGGGCAACCTGTCCTCCAGGGTCCTGGGCTTTCTCAGAGCCAGGGCCTGGCTGGCACGCTCATAGTCCCAGGTGGAAACCCTGCCTTACCCTGGCCTTTTACGTGGTTTTGGCTCCCAGGCTGAGAGGCTGTCACACAATGCTTGCGTTTCCCTTTCTTTTCATTCATTTGTTTAAGAAAAGGTTTATTTCCTTACTTGGAAGGTAGAGAGAGAGATCGATCTTCCATCTGCAGGTTCACTCCTCAAATGGTCGTAATGGCCGAAGTTAAGCTGATCTGAAGCCAGAAGTCAGGAACGTCCTTTAGGTCTCCCACACGGTGCAGGGGCCCAAGGATTTGGGCCATGCTCTGCTGCTTTCCCAGGCCACAAGCAGGGAGCCAGATGGGAAGTGGAGCAGCTGGGACACAAACTGGCCCCCAAGTGGGATGCTGGCACCGCAGGCAGATCAGTTTGCCATGCCACCATGCCAGCCCTTCTTCTCTTCCTTCCTTCTTTCCTTCCTTCTTCCCTTCCTCTCTCCAGCCCTCCCTCCCTCCTTCCATCTCCATCCATCCTTTCCTTCTCCCTCCTTCTGTTTTTTCCTTCCTTTCTCCTTCTTTCCTTTCCCCCTTCTCTTTTTCTTTCCTTTTTTCTATTTGAAAGGCAGAGTTACAAGAAAAGGGAGATAAAGATCTTCCATCCACAGATTCATGCATCAAATAGCTGCAGTGACCACAGCTGGGCAAATCCAAAGCCAGGAGCCAGAGGATCCATCTGGGTCCCCCACGTGGGTGTGAGGGCCCAAGCACCTGGCCCATCCTCTTGCTTTCCTAGGCATATTAGCAGGGAAGAGGAAGAGCAGCCAGGACTCCAACCAGTGCCCATATGACTCACTGTGCCCCAGCAGCAGCCCCGCCTAACACCCTCTTATCCCAGGTCACAGATCAGACATGCTCAGGGGCCACCCTGCTCTCATCCTGTCACTCACCTGCTTGCAGAGAAGAAAGCAGGACAAAGTATCTTTCCGCAAATCAAAGGTCAGCTAATGAGGAAAGCTGGAGAGAGGCCCCTAACAGTGTAGTGGATAAGGGGCCCTGGCTGGGGTGTCCGTTTACAGGAGCTCCCCAGCCCAGGAGCAGGGAACCAAGGGCCACTTAAGAGTGTACCCCTTCCCCACCACCACCCCCAGCCTGGTGTCTTACCCACCACATGCCTGTGAGTGACACTCTCACTTGGCTGTGGAGAGAGCCACAGCCCCAGGCCCAGAGCACATGCTCCCCACACTGCAAAGGGCACCTGCCGTACTGAGGGTGCCTCCGCGTGCCAGTGTCTGGCCACCTCTTCCCGTGCTGCAGGGGGAGGAGGGGATGTAGCCCACGTGAGAGGGGCTCGGCTCTTGGTGTTATATGTCTTCCCTGCAGTCTGCAGGATCTGGGAGGGGTCTGACTGTGGACAGACTGCTGCTTTCCAGCTCAGCTGCATGGGGACCTGGGGGCACCTCCGTACATATAATTTACATTTTTAAAAAAGATTTATGTTTTTGGTGGGGTGGGGAAGGCAGATTTACAGAGGAGAGACAAAGATCTGTCATCTACTGGTTCACTCCCCGATTGACCACAGCAGCATGAGCTGAACCAATCCGACTGTAGGAGACAAAAGCCTCTTCCGGTTTCCCCATGTGGGGGCTGGGTTCCAAAGCTTTGAGCCATCCTCTGCCACTTTCTCAGGCCATAAGCAGGGAGCTGCATGGGAAGTGGAGCAGCTGGGACCCAAACCAGCACCCATAGGGGATGCTGGTGCTTATAGGTAAAGGAGTAGCCAGGTAAGCCATTGCACTCACACCCTGCAGTTGGTTTTAAAATGTATGTGACAGAGGTGATGTTGAGAGGAGAGAGATTTTCTGTTTCTTTCTTTTTTCTTTTTTTTTCCCTAACAATGATTAACATGGATCAGGCCCTTAGAGGGTGCTTCACCAAGTTCATGGAAAATGCATACGTTTGGATGAGCAAACTGTGCATGAATTTGAAAACCTTTTTGCACCAAAATAAACTTCCGCAAACTTGAAGTGACACCGTCATGGTAACTGTGCTAGGTTGTCTTCAGCTGCTGGGGGTGGGGCTGATACCCAGATGCCAGCTCATTGCAGGGGGGTGTAGATTGGGGGCTGGGCAGTGGTGCCTGCCCGTTAGTGACCTGTCCTGCATCAATGCACAGGGGACACAAATGGGAAGCAATAGTTCTACTTTTGGGGGTCTGAGTCTTTGTCACTTTTTTTTAGGTCTGTTTCTTTTGAAAAAGTGACATGGAGGGACAGAGTGAGTGAGGAGGGTGGCAGGGGTGCGGGGAATCTGCCTACCACTGGTTCATCCCTTAGATGGCTGCCACAGCCAGCGCCAAGCCGGGCCAAAGCCTGGAGCCTTATCCAGACCTTTCACATGGGTGCAAATGCCCAAGTAATTGGGCCATCTTCTGTTGTGTTTCCCAGGCTCATTAGCAGGGAGCTGGATCAGAAGTGAAGCAGCTGGAACTTGGACTGGGACCCATTTGTTATGCTGGCACTCCAGTGGAGGCTTAACATACTATGCCATGGTGCCAGCCCCTCTAAGAAATCTGGAAAAGAAACAGTAACCACCCCCTCCTGGTTTCTCTTCCTGCTGGAAAAGCTCTGTGTTGGGACTGTCTTCAAAACCTGCTTCCTCTCGCTGTTAAACGGAACTGTGTTGGTTCAGAGGACTCTCAGGTTCTTAGCTCTGCTCAGCTGGGCCAGGAAGGCCGGGTGGTGGGGAGCAGAAGGGCTGGCAGGTGCACGCACAGGAGGTAGTCTGTGAGGAGTAGCTTTGCTGTGTAAGTGCCCACTCTCGCAGTCACCCCCCTGCCTCGCGCAAGTGAGAACTCAACAGAGGACAGCACTGATCCTCTTAGTGACCCAGTGACCTCCCAGTGCCGTCTCCCTGGCTGGGCATTTGCTGCACAGTCCCAGAGCCAACAGGGGCGAAGCACAGCTAGTGTGTTCTCTGCATAAATACAGAGCCTGCATGCATGGCGCTCTGGGAGGTGAGCCGTTCCAGGGCGTCTGCAGGGACGAGGTCTCCTCCTGGTTTCTCTTCCCACTGGGATTGTCTGATCACTGTGAACCCCACTGCACATGCGACACAGAGGAGTGATCCTCTCTGGGGTTTCCCCTCCCTGCCCACCTCCCACTTGTTAATCACACGTGGAACTGATGTGCGCTAAGCGCCACTCCCTCTCTGGGGTCCTCAGGCTGGCCTGGGAAGCGGTCACAAGTGAGGCACTGAGGCTTAGCGATTCAGTCTCTTGCTCGGGATCTCAGAAGCCAGGCGTCCTCCAGGTTCCTCTGCCCCTGTTCCTGAAGCTCCTGGGCACACCCCATGCTGCACCTTTCAGGCACGTGGCCTGCACCTGCATCTTTTGGGCACGTGGCTGTTTCCTGTATCAAGCTTGAGCTACTCCAAGGGATCTGGGTGCTAAGCACAGTATGGACCTGCTGTCTGCTCTTCAGCAGACACTGGAAGGCTTGGGCGGGGAGCTGGCCAGCAGGATCTGAGGCAGGTGCAAGCCCTGTGGTGGCCATCCTGTCCGCAGAGTTGTGTTAGAGCATACCTCTGTCCTGGTTCCAGGGGGCACGGCCTGTGTGCTGACCGGGCAGCCTTTTGACACGATGAAAGTCAAGATGCAGACATTCCCCGACCTGTACCGGGGCCTCTCCGACTGCTGCCTGAAGACCTACACCCAGGTGGGCTTCCGCGGCTTCTACAGGGGCACCAGCCCGGCGCTGATCGCCAACATCGCCGAGAACTCCGTGCTCTTCATGTGCTACGGCTTCTGTCAGCAGGTGGTGCGCAAAGTGGTGGGGCTGGACAAGCAGGCCAAGCTGAGGTGAGTCAGCATGCCGACATGCGCGTTTCAGTCATTCTCATCAACCCTGTTCTGTGGTCACAGGTTTTTGTCAAATATTTATTTGAAAGGCAGAGGAATGAAAAGCTCCCTTCTGCTACTTCATTGTCCAAATACCCACAGCAGTTGGGGCAAGGCCTGGCCACACCTGCAGCCAAGAGCTCCATCTTGGTCTTCCTCATGGGTGGCAAGGACATGGCTACATGAGCCATCACCCGCCTCTTCCCAGGGCTTACGTTAGCAGAAAGCTGGAATTGGCAGCGGGGCTGTCCCTGGAACCAAGGCCTTCTGGCAGCATAACCACCATGCTGTTGGCTTGCCTCTCTATGGTCCTGGTTGCCATGATATCTTTTTTTGTTTTATTAAGGTTTATTTATTTTTATCGCAAAGTCAGATATACAGAGAGGAGAGACAGAGAGTAAGATCTTCCATCTGTTAATTCATTCCCCAAGTAGCTGCAACAACCAGAGCTGGACCAATCTGAAGCCAGGACCCAGGAACTTCCTCTAGGTCTCCCACGTGGGTGCAGGGTCCCAAGGCGTTGGGCTATCCTTGACTGCTTTCCCATGCCACAAGCCAGGACTGGATGGGAAATGGGGCTGCTGGGACTCAAACCGGCGCCCATATGGGATCCCAGTGCACTCAAGGCTAAGACTTTAGCCACTAGGCTACCACATCAGACCCTTGTCATAGTATATGAAGGAGAAGAATGTTTCCTTTCACAGAGAACTACAGCAGGGTCAACTAGTATTAATTTTTTAAAAAGATCTATTTGTTTTTGTTTGAAAGGGAGATTTATTTAACTTGAGAGACAGATCATCCATCTGCTGGTTTATTCCCCAAATGGCCAAAATGGCCAGGAACCCGGAATGTCCTCCTGGCCCATGTGGGCCCAGGACCCGCGTTATCAGCTGCTGCTTCCCAGGGTGTAGGTTAGCAGGAAGGCACAATCGGGAGCAGAGATTCGGGCCCAGGCCCTCCGGTCTGTGGCACAGGCATTATCAAGCCCATGCTGAACTCATTTCCTAAAGGCTTGGAACTGGTGACAGTCACCCAAGGAGATGGGGGGGTGGGGCAGGAGCAGGCGAGGGGCAGGGGCTGGGCCCTGGTGCTGCCAGTCCCCAGTACAGCACTGGCAGAGGGGAGACAGGGAGGAAGGAAGGGACACAAACTGGGCCAGCGGGGAGGGCTGGTAGCATACTCCAGTGGGGGATGAGCAGGGCAGGACCCTAGGAGAGACTTTTGGTTTTTAGAAATTTATGTATTTTTCTTGAAAGAGTTATAAAGGGAAGGCAAGACAGAGAAAGAGAAAAAATATCTTTGATCTGCTGCCTCACTCTCCAATGACTGCAACAGCCAGAACTGGATAGGTGTGAAGTTGGGAATCTGGAGCTTCTTCCAAGACTCCCATGTGGGTGCAGGGACATAAGGATGTAGACTCGCCTCTGCTGCTTTCCCAGGCCATAAACAGGGAGCTGGATCATAAGCAGAGCAGCCGGGACTTACACCAGTGCCCAAATGGAACAGCAGCCCTGCAGGTAGAGGGTTAGCTTGCTGTGCCACCGTGCCACTGTGCCAGCCCCAAGACATTGTTTCAGTGCATGTTCTGGTAGACTAGGGTTGGGTTCTTTCACATCCTTAGTGAAGGAACAAAGTAGAGGGAAGATGGGGACAGTGAGCAGCGCTGAGATCTGGAGGAAGGACTGTGTGTCTCCCTCTGAGCAGGCTAGTCTCTTCACCACCAGCCCTGGCACAGGACAAAGCCCTGTGGAATCTGTCCTAGAGCAGCCTGCAGGAATCAGGCGGGGAACATTTATTTCCTATAGCGTAGGTGGTGCTCAGTTTGCTAGGAGCAAAGAAGCTGTCTTTGCCTTGACCGTGGTCCCGGCCAGCCTGGGTCTGTTTGGTACAGGAGGTCTTTGCATTTACCCTGAAACATACAATCTGCCTCTCCCCTGCTGGGCAAGTGCCATTCTGGCTCCAGAGGGCAGGCGTGTGCATTGTGCATGTGTGTGTGTGAGTGTGAGTGTATGAGAGAGAGACCACATTCGGGCCTCTGGCCTTTGTTGGAGGGGTCAGGCCAGGAGAGGCCAGTGAGGAAGAGGGCGAAGGGGAGGCCGTGCTGGGGAGGCTTGCTATGCGCTTCTGCAATCACATTGTAAATATTTATCTGTTCCTGGCATGGACACAACCCCTGGTGGTTCCCACTGTGACCTTTGGCCCAATAGATGCCTTACGCAGCAGGAGCACTCAGGTCATGTTTGTGGAGGGTAAATGACATGCAGGTTGCTTCTTCCCAAATCCCATGCTGCACCTGTTGCCATCTCAATTCCAGCTCTGTGCATTTGTATCCCAGACAGCACCAAAGGGTCCATGCACCACTAGTCTGTGCTCTGGTAGAGCAGAATATTCATGAGAAAGCCAAAGTACACTGCCAGTCTGCTCTGGCCTTGGCTTCATGCTTGGTCATGTGCCAGGGCTTGCTCAGCTTTCTGAGCCCTCGCTGCTCCTTGGATTGAGTAGTCGTTGAGGTTTCCTGGCCTGGCCTCTGACAGCCTTGACAGGCTCTGGGTCCTGACCCCGTAGACTGTCTGTGCCTGTCAGCAGGTGGACAAAGTCCCCGGGGACCTGGATCCGCAGCCCAACCGAGAGACAGCACAAACTGTGGGAAGCTTGGATTGGCACGAGAGAAAACAGGGAAACAAGGAGCAGACTGAAGGCCACAGCATGCCCTCTGCATGCCCGGAAGCCATGTGCAGGAGCCCTGTGTGCCTGGCTGATTGTCCTGTTCCTGGTCTTCTCTAAAGTGAAGAGACAGTCTGTGCTGCAAGCAGCATCTAAACTCTGCCAGCTCTTGAAGGAAGCCCAAGTGCATGAGTGTTCAACTCAGTCAGCCCCCCTTGCATCCACCTGTGGCTCACAGCCTAGACCACCAGAGTGGGAAGGCAGGGCTTGGTGAGGAGATGGCCCCGACTTCCTGCCAGTCCTTACCATTGGTGCAACTATAGGACCCTGGCAGGCAGCAGGTCTTGTGGCTTTGCTCATAGTTAGGAGAGAGATGTTTAGGGGAAATCTCTCCACAGGGCACACCGGGTCTTTGGGAAAATCTAGAGGATGGTCACGGCTCTCCAGGGACACTGCGAAGCTGGCCTTTAGTGGGCCAGGGAACTAGCCCAGGCCCTCCTGCTTGGAGTAGGATCATTCCAGCCCAAGTGCAGGCCTTGCTCCTGGGCAGCGGAAGCAGTGTCCCAGGCTGGGGCGGGAGGGGGGCCTTGAGAGGGCCCTCAGCTTCAGGGGGGTCCTTCTGGTTTGCCCTTGGCCTTGAACCTTCATAGACTCCAGGAACACAGTCTGGCTTCAGGCTGTGGCTCATGTCAGGTGGGATGGTGACTTCTGGGATTTGCACACACTTCTCCCAGGTCTGGGTTGCATTTCCAGCTTGCCCATTCCACGGAAGCTTCTGTGTGTACACACCTTCCCCGTACATACTCTCACCCTGGACCCTTGGCCTCCGTGTTGCTGAAGTCAAGGAGGTTGTTGGCTGAACCAGCAAGTCTTTGCAGTGCTAGGACTTTCTGGTTAAAAATTTACCCTGGGTGTTCATCTGTGGAAGTTCTGCGATGCAGCTGCTTGTTCTATCTTGGGTCTAATACAGGGAGGGAAGGTTTCAGAATTGGGCTTTATTTGTTAAAAGTTTTTTTTCACTTACTTGAAAGGCAGGGTGGGTGGCAGAAAGAGAAAGAGAGGGAAGGAGGGTGCTTCTGTTTGCTAGTTCACTCCCCAAACGTCTGCATAAGCAGGACCGGGCCAGGCCAAAGCCACGCATGCACGCACGCTGGATCTCACAGGTGGGTGACAGGGACTCCGTCCTTGGGCTCGCACCTGCTCCTCCCAGGATGCACATAATCAGGAAGCTGACTAGGAAACAGAAGTGGAACTCAGTCCCACGCATTGCAGTACAGGATGTGGGTGTCCCAGGTTGTGGTTTGAGCACAATGCCTTTGTAAGAACCTCATTTTAGTTAAAGCTCACCTGGCTGCTACCCTCCAGTATTCATAGTGTGTGTCTTGGGGTGACAGTGGTGGGTGGGGGTGGAACTCTGGGAAACACTGATTTTTCTGGCTGTATTTTATAGGCCCCTGTGTGTCTTGTCTTGGACTGGTGACTTCACCAGATGGAGTCTGGCAGGTGTAAGATCAAGGCAACAGCAGATGCAGTGTCTGCAGCAGCCTGGACCCTGGCTTCACACACGGGCCTTCTCCTGGCATCTTAACAGATAGCAAGGCGCTGGACCAGCTCTCTGGTTTCCTCCCTTAAAGGCAGAAGTCCCATTGCCATGAGCAATTAACTGTATTCATTTTTGATGATAGTAAGCAGATACTGGTATTGTGTGCCAAGAAAAACCAGAGTTCCTTTTCATAGTGAGAGGATGAACGGCCATCCACGGGTGAATGTGGGCCACTCTAACACTGAGAAACACCTAACGTGAGTGGGCCATAGAATTGCTCATAAGCTAGAGGAAAGAGAAGAACCCCAAGACAGTTCCTGTGATTGGGAAGGTCCTTCCATGAGTGGGTTAGCAGGTGGCTGGAAAGGCCTGCCCGAGAACCTGTGTGAAAAGTGCCCACTGAAGCAGTGTGGTTCATCAAGTGTGGTCTATCGTGACAAGAAACAGGGCAGAGCCTCAAAACAGTAGCAGAAAGGACTCTCCTCCCCTCCCACTCTTTATAAGGAAGGGGGTGGCACCCCAATTGGATATGCAAACAGGGTCTTAGCTTGTGCAGCAGGGACCTCCTGGGCAGGTGGGCGTGGCAGATGGAGGGGAGGGAGGCAGTGTGGTTTTCCAGGGGTCAGGAGTCCCAGCTCATCACACCTCCCTCTTTTCCTGCCTGGCCCAGCCCAGCAGTTGCGGCCATCTGGGGAGGGAACCAGCAGATGGAAAATCCATCACTATGTCTCTCTCTCTCTCTCTCAGTGACTCTGACTTTCAAGTAAATAAATTGAAAACAAAAAGCCCCTAGTACAGTATAAATATTATGTAAAAATTTGTCACACTGCATTGTTGGGGAGTAATGACAAGGAAGACAGACCACCTGTTCAGTACTGATACCATTTCCCCCCCACCGCGTGCCTGTCTGTGTGTGGTGGATTGAATCCTGGATGAGGGACTGCGGATACAAGGGTGGCTGCCCCTGTCTGTTGACCTAAAATCCCATCTCCAAACCCCATCAGGCTAGGGGCTTGGGCTTCACCCCAGGAGTGTGTGTGTCAGGAGGAGGGACATGGGCCTGTAGTCCATTACACAGTGATTAATATGAAGAACGTGGGTGTGCTGTGTCAGGTAGACTGGGTGTGCCTCCCAGTGCTGTCACGTGGTGGCTGTGTGACTTAGGGCACCACATGTGTTGGCTGTCCTACCCCCACGTGGGAGTTGGGCCTCCCACCCCTGCAGTTCACCCTTGGGTTGTGTGCTGGCAGTGTGGACAGCGCTGCGTGCGGCCGTGTGTGAGGCAGTAGGTAACAGGCCTCCTGTGCTTGCGCTTAAAGTGATGTGCAGAACGCGGCCGCCGGCTCCTTCGCCTCAGCCTTTGCAGCACTGGTGCTCTGCCCCACTGAGCTGGTGAAATGTCGCCTCCAAGCCATGTATGAGATGCAAACGTCGGGAAAAGTTGCCAGCAGCCAAAAGTAAGTGACCCCAGTGCGAGCGAGCGCCACCTGTGTTGTGCTGTTTTGGGTGTGGCTTTCATTGGGTTCTGTTGCGCTGAAGTCAAGTCACAGATACCAAAACAGACTTCTCTCCTGTGCCTTCTGGGTGCTTCTGTTGCCAGTCAGGGTTATTGGCATTCTGTTAAGCCAGTCCTGCGGGGCTGGCCCAGACCCCAAGAATGGCCGAGGCCCTTGGGTTTAGTGCCTCGGACAAGCCCTAGCACAGCTCTCCTTTGCACCTCCTGGGTACATGAAGCACCCTCCTCACACACACAAGGAGGTGCAGAGTGGCCGGCCTTCCTGGGTGCTGGTATGCAATCTGAGCTTCGTTTCTATGCCCGAGCCAAGGTTTTATGTGGAAATTTCAGGGTTCAGTCTGAGCACCTGCGGTTCTGGTGGTAATGCTCTCCCCAGCCCTTCCAGTGTACCTACCCAGGGCAAGTCCCAGCTCTAAAAACACTGGACAGATCCAGATGGCACTAAACAGACAGGTGTCTGTCACTATGGGTGTTTATCAGCACAGGTGGTATCTGTCAGCACAGGCATTGGCCAGTGATCAGTCAACACTTGAGAACTGGCTGTTGTCACCTGGGGAGGACACGGCTTAGTAGCCGTAAGACCTGTGAACCGGAAGGCTGTTTCTTATCACTGCCAGTCAGTCTTAACACCCGGCCACTGTAACCTGCGTCTCTCACTGTTTTTCCTCCCAGTACAGTCTGGTCTGTTGTGAAGAGCATTCTGAGAAAGGATGGCCCCTTGGGCTTCTACCATGGCCTCTCCAGCACTTTACTTCGAGAAGTACCAGGCTACTTCTTCTTCTTTGGCGGCTATGAACTGAGCCGGTCGTTTTTTGCATCAGGGACATCAAAAGATGAACTAGGTAAATGCATTCCCATCAGCAGCAGCACTGGGCTGTGGTGGGGTCTGCTTCTCCTGCTGGAGTGTCTGTCCCCCGGGATCCTGGGGGGTGTCCAGTAGCACTGGGGTTCGTGGTGTCTGCTCCTGGTGGAGTGTCTGTCCCCCAGGACCCTGGGGGGTGTCCAGCAGCACTAAGGTGTGGTGGGGTCTGCTCCCGGTAGAGTGTCTGTCCACTGGGACCCTGGGGGGTGTCCAGTAGCACTGGGGTTGGTGGGGTCTGCTCCTGGTGGAGTGTCTGTCCCCCGGGACCCTAGGGGGTGTCCAGAGGGTGGGAGCTGATTTGATGGCAGGTGCTCACTAACACCCTCCCTGCACATATAGCAGCTGCTTCAGGCGCTGGGCGGAAGTGGCTTGCTCCGCACATCTTCTGACAGGTGCTACATGGCTCAGGATCCAGGTTAGAAGGAGAAGAGGGGGCAGAGATTCCTTTCTGATGGAAGGAGAGGCGGGGGCACAGTGCCTGCCACCAGTCTTGTAGCAAGCTCACAGCGTGGGGATTTTGGGGGTTTTCATGGAGCAGTGAGCCATGGGTGGTGTCTGGCTCATCCTGTACCGCTGCTGACCCCCTGGGCACAGCGTTAGGCTCACAGGAATGAGTTCATTTTTCTTCAGCATCTCATGTTGGATCCACTCAGGCTAGGTGAGCCTGCAGGCTTGCTGTTTGCATTCTTCCACAGAGGAAGACTCAGGGCTGTGGGGCATCAACTGTTAAAAACGCTCCAGACCAAAATGGTTTGTGATGCGCTGACCTCCATTCTGCCTTGTTCCTTGGGCTTGCTGTTTCCTTGGAGCCAGGAGCCCCATTTGAGGGGTCTGAGCACCAAGGTAGCCAGCCTAAACACCCCCCTCTAGGGCCTGTCATCTGAGAGAAGGTTCACCCTTAGGTGAACCTTGCTGACCCAGCAGAGCCGTGTCATCTTCACTTCCATGGTGGACCCGCACAGTGTGTGCAGTGCCAGCAGATTTGTCGTCACCTGTCTGCAGCCCTTATGTCACCATCCCCTGGAAACACCTCGTCAGCTCTCTGGAGACACAAATGCTGTTTGCTGTTTTTCTGCTCTAGGTCCTGTCCCTCTGATGTTAAGTGGTGGAGTAGGTGGCATTTGCCTCTGGCTTGTGGTGTACCCAGTGGACTGCATCAAATCCAGAATTCAAGTTCTTTCCATGTCTGGAAAGCAGGCGGGATTTATAGGGACTTTCATAAGTATTGTGAAGAGCGAAGGTGGGTCTGCTGGTGGCGGAACTGGAGTGATGTGTGGAGGGTAATGGTCATGGCTCTGCTAGTCCTCAGCAGCCCCGGGTCCCAACGCTTTCTCCCTGCCTCAGCCCCTCCTCCTGGCACTGGGTATACATCTGCACTCATGGCTTTGTTTCTGAGTGCCCAGCATTTTAGCTTTGTTTTCATAATTCTGAAGAACAGGCAACAGGTACCTGGCATGATTCTCTGTCCTAAGTCAACTGGCCGCAGCTTGTAAGATGTGGGTTATTTATTTTGCCAAAGAGGACCGTGCTTTGCAGTGGGCACCTCTTTTTTTTTTGGAGCACAGCCATTACCCCTTGGCTGTGCCAGGAGATCTTCTGTGAATCTGCTTAGAAACAACCTGGCAGCGAGTCCTGCCATTTTGTGTCAGTGTAAGTGCCACTGCCTGGATGTGTAAGTGTCAGGACCCCTGGCGATGCACCTGTGTGGGGGAGTCCCCAGAGGGGATTGTCACCATCGTTGACTGCCCTTTTGTCTTCCAGGAATAGCAGCCTTATATTCTGGACTGAAACCTACTATGATTCGGGCGTTCCCTGCCAATGGGGCACTGTTTTTGGCCTACGAGTACAGCAGAAAGCTGATGATGAGCCAGTTGGAAGCGTACTGAAGTGTCTTGGCAGACCTTGCTCCACACACCGGGGGGTGAGGACCTCGGTTCCTCTCAGGGTTTCACGGAGCACGGGATTGATGTGAAATGAGTCTTGAAGATTTTGTATTGCCTCTCCTTGGATCTTCTGTCTTACGTTCTGTACCTTCTGCCCTTAATTTGTGTTGAAATGGAAGAGCTGGTGGTGCTGTTGTCTGCGGTATGAGCGTGGGGTGACCAGTGGTTGGGGCCCCCACCCTCATGATGAAGAGGGCCCAAAGGGTGTGTGCATCACCCTAGCAGTGTGTGTTGGATGGGAATGGATTAAGGAAAACTGTTATCAGTGACTGTTGTTTTCCAAGAAGGTTCTTATAAATAATTTCTTAACCTATTCTAGTTACAGGGTCTTTTTTAAAAAAAAAAAACCTACTTAACCTGTATACTGTACTAAGCTGTTAAAGTTGTTAGTAAACAGTTTTCATGTGTTACATTGAAAACTAAAATATTCCTGTAGATTTTGAAGCGCATAACCTACATCCTGGTGTAGTGTCCACATTCTCAAGTTGAGAGTAGGCATCCTGGATTTCCTCCAGAACACTGCCCTACAGCAATGCCAGGTCTTTGCTGGCACGCCCAGAACCCACACAACAGCCATGCTATGGCATGTGGCCTGGGGGATAGGGCCTTGGCCAAGCAGTATGGCCTTTAGCTGCATCCCTTCTCTCCCAGTGAGCCCCCTTTGTGCTGGGTGGGAATGGATGTAGCTATTGTTGTTTGACGAAGACCCACGTGGCTGCTGTAGCCTCTGGAGCCTGGCCTGGGTAGGGCTGGGTTGTCTGTTGGCCTGTCTAGGCCCAGTGATCCACTTGGGTCCACCTGACCAGAAACTTTTCAAGGGAACAGAGCATGCCAAAGCCAAGAGAAGCTTTTGTTTCCTGCCTGGTGGTGGTGGTGTAGACTGGAGGGTCTGTTCTCTCCCATCAGAGCTAGAGCGAGCCATTCAATTCTGCTGTATGGGCTGACCCCCTTGCAAGCACTTACCTTCAGATCTGTCCATCCCTGCCACCCATGTTTGATGCGGGTCCTCAGTGAATAGTAATGGTAACTGTATATGGGGTGTGACTTCATAAAGCAACAGGACATAAAAGGAATGGTTTAAGCTTGGCCAGTTACATGCATATATCAGCCCATAGTTGGTCTGCTCAGCACAGGCTTGGGATGGGCAGCTATTTGTTGGCTGTGTGATGTGGGCAGACCATCTGGTCACCACTAGAGGAGGCTCCAGCCACTCTCTGTTGCTCCAAGAACAGCAGGGGCTCTCTCAATTAAGTGTTTCCACACAGGCCATGAAGCTGAAAGCCCAAGGTGGACTTATCAGGAATAGCCTAGCCTCTACCTGTATGTCTCTGCCTCTTGGCATCAGGTAAACATGGTGGGAAACCCCTGGTTTCCTTAAGCATTTGGCTAACTCTCGGGCCTCTCTGACAGCTCTGAACTCCTGTGCTGGAAACAACAGGGTGTGGCCCATGGACCTGGGCTGGGGCTTGGAGCTGGCCTTACACTTCTGAGAAAACCATTTTGTCCACTTCTGTCTGAATAGGCCTAGATTGACACCAAATAGCCCTGTTGGTTGGGGATTTTGCAAATTGCCCAGGAAAGGGTTATTAGCTCAATAATAACCCTGAGTAGTAACCTAGTAGGAACAACCTTAGGCAGGGGAGTCAGAATTAGAAATCTGTCAGGAGAATGATTTTCATTCTGTTTTGTAATTTAGGGCTCAGTATTTGGGTACAATTTATACCATTTTAGATCTGTACTCTAAAAACACTGTTTAAAAAATTATGTTTAAAGAATTTGAGTATTCTATCATTAAATTATTTACCTACTACTTGAGTCTACGATGACTTTTATTTGCATGCTTTATGTCCATGCTGAGAACCAGCGGTCAGGAATAGTCAAGTGGTGTGTAATGTTTCAATGTGGTGGCTCTATTGCAAGAAACATTTCACTTACTGCAAAAGTGCTTCTCACAGTCTCATAATAGGTGACAAAAAAGCGTGCAGACACTGCAGTTAAGAATTATGGCCCAGTAGAATTACTCTCTCTGTACCTCCATGCTTTTAAAATAATTTAACTGCTTGTTATAAGTTTTGGATAATCCTATCCCATGTTAATAGATTCTGTTTAAGCAAACCAGTATCACGTAAATTTGAGTTGCTGAAAAAAAATTTTTTTTCCCACTTTGGGCTGTGTGTATTCAATGCCCCCAGAGATCTAAACAAGTGTGATTTTTTGGAGCAAACCCAGGCTAACATGGTGATTTGAAACTGCCAGATATTTTCGTGAGTCTTGGAGGGTGGGAGAAAACTCTGTTAACCTCCTGAATGTCAAAATAATGATTCTTAAAAATTGGGGATTCCTTCCCTCTTTTGCCCTTTCTTGAGCCGGCCAAGTGTTTTTTTTCTTTGTTCACCTAGGCCGGTCACAGATCCTGCCTTCTGAGTCACTGCTGTGTGGACCATCAGTGAGCTCGTACTGCCTGTTGGGACAGCACATGCTTCCGTAACGTGAATGACAGGGAGTGGTGTTAGTAGTAACATGGAAAGAGCATATTCTGTGATTTTTTTCCTCCATTGGGAGCCAGATTTGGGGGGAATTAATTAGGGTGAGAGAAATTAGACATTAAAATTGGAAAGGAGGAAGTTGAAATATCCATGTTTGCAGATGACATGATATTAAACATAGAAAAACCTAAACACTTTGGCCTGGTGCCATAGTGTAATAGGATGAGCCTCTGCCTATGATCCCATATTGGCTCTGGGTTGAGTCCCAGCTGCTCCACTTCTATTCCAGCTTCCTACTTGTGCCCTGGGGAAACAGCAAGGATGACCCAAGGCTTTGGGACCCTGCACTCACATGGGAGACTGAGAAGGTGGCCCAACTCCGGTCATTGCAGCCATCTGGGAAGTGAGCCAATGGATGATAATCTCTCCCTCTCTTCCTATAACTCTGCCTTTCAGATAATAAACATACCCCCCCCCTTTTTTTTTAAGAGGTAGGGGGAAGTAGGTGAGAGAAACAGAGGCCCACATTGTGGTGTAATGGGTTAAGCCATTGTTTGCAATACTGGTATCACAAACTGGAGTGCTGGGTAAGTACTGGCTGTTCCACCTCTGAAGCATCTTCCTCCTAAGGTGCCTGGGAAGAGAGTGGAGGATGGCCCAAGTGCTTAGGCCTCACCCTTCCATAGAGGAGACCTGGATGGAATACTGTGCTCCTGGGCCAGCCTGATGCGGCCTCGGCTGTGTGACCTTTTGGGGAGTACACTAGCAGACAGAAAATAATCTCTCACTCACTCAGTCACTCAGCTTGCTCTTTCTCTGTGGCTCTACATGTCAGATAAACACATACATTTGAAAAAAAGAATTTGCCACTGATATTTTACTTGGTTTAAAAATTTTTCTTGAACTATATACACTTTTATATACATGTTTGAAGGTTTGGGAAGATATCAATGTGTAAGGGTTTATAAAAATACAGTTTTCTGCTGCTTCAACCGGTCTCAGCTGTAACTTCAGCTCAGGTCTTATCAAAATAAACCTCCACTGCAAATTGGGAGTGATAAATTTTCCATGATTTTGGTTTGTGAGGATTGTCCAGTTGATTTCTTTGTAGGTACAGCCTAGGGTGGGTCGGGGGGAAGAGAAGCACCATGCATTAGGTTTCACTTTGGAGTTAAAGGAAGAGCCCTACACTAGGGCCCCTTAAGCTCTTTGTGAAGCCTTGACCGCCACATACAGAACCTCAGCCCTTGTGTTTTCTTAGCTGGCTTTCTCCACATCTTTGGCAAAATGCCTTTGTCTTTGGTAGAAAGCCACTAGAGACTAGATGTGTAATAAGACTCGGTAATGGTGCTGGCATTGTGGTGTAGTTGATTAAGCTGCCACCTACAATGTCAGAAAGTACGGTTTCTAGTACCAGCTGCTCCACTTTTGGTCCAGCTTCCTGCTAACATTCCTAGAAAGGCAGCAGGAGATGGCCTTAGTGCTTGGGCCTTAGTGCGTGGAGTTTGTGGTTTCTGCCTGCAGCCTGGCCCAGCCCTGGTCATTGAGACCATTTGGGGAATGAACTAGGGGATGGAAGATGCATATCTCTTTTTCTCTCTTGCCTTTCAAATAAATATATATATTTTAAAAGTAAAACACAAGAACATAATACCATGTTCCCAATGATAAAGTTGATATTGTTGGCTAAACAACATTCTGATAATTATAGAAACTGCTTTACCAAGTAGTATGCAAATTTGAAGGTTACAGAAATGTTCAGAAACTTACATGAAAGTGACCACATAGCTTGTTGCGTCTCCAGTGGGAACACAGAGTTTCAAAGGACAATACTGTAGCCGTCAGGAAGAGCCATTTTTCAGGAATAGCAGCAAGCTCAGCCCTATCCAAGTCTGAGGGACTTTGCTCATGTGATGAGTCAAAGTTTAATGCTTGTATACATCCAGAAATGACTGGATAAAAAGTTTCCATCAGGGCCCTTTCAGATTTGTAGCAGAGTAGGATTGGGTATTGTGAATATCACCTCATGCCACATGCAGTTGTAACCACTTCTGTTGAAACCTGAGGACTTTTAAAACATTTTCTCCTATGATGTTTTGATACTACTTTTTTTTTTTTTTTTTTTACAACGAAATAAGTCCCCATAGTGGAGAACTTCCAGACTCAGAATTGAGTTTCCAGCTCTGGGCAAAAGGTTCTTTGGAACAATACTCTTCAAATGCAATTAATACATGATTTTTTTTTTAAAATAAAAACTCCTGATTGAGTTGTTGAGAATCATGTGTAAACAGGAGACTATTACATTATTTCTTAGCTGTCTTCATAAATACTCACTGAATCTTAAGGTTTTTGTTGTGGACTATGCATGTGCCAAACAACTTTCAGACCAGCTGAACCTCCAGTGGTTATGCTTGACTTTAGGCCAGTTTACTTATGGAGGGCCTGCCGTAACTTGAATTCAAGCTCCTGAGCATGTTCATATGAAGCTTCCCTGGAATTGTCACCACATTCAGGATCTGATGGCAGATCACAGCCCTCTGGCATGGCCTTGAGGTTAAGGCAGCAGTGAGCCTTATATCGTTTTAAAATAATCTCATTGAGTAAGAGCCATGAAGAACGGTAACTTAAAATTTTTTGTTTTACAAATTGAGCTCATAACAACGGGCAAAACAATTGCCATCATGCCTCACACACAGGCACTGAAGATTAAGCTATTTCTATTGGGTTTATATTATATCCATACCTGTTGTTTTGTATGAAAGATGTATGAAACCAAAAGAAAAATGCACATTTGTCATAGTAGTTGGGTAGTTTCTAAAAAGACATGGTTAAAGGGGAAAAAAAAAAGGTTATTTTCACAATAGATTGGCACCAAGAGCTAATTCCTCATGGATTAAAATTTCTTCCTTTATTCCTTTATATATTGATTGCTTCCTTTATTCCTTTATATATTGATTCACCAATTGTACCCATGAAATCATCTACTGTATGATGATTCACATAGAAGACACTAGGGGGCGGCTTTAAGAGACTGCTGTGGCTTCCTCTTCCTGGCAGGAACTTCAGGGATGGAATGGGTTTTTGGCATGGTGGTTAAGGTGTTGTTGGGACGCCTGTACCCTATGTAAGAGGGCCAAGATTCAAGCCCCAGCATGGCTCCTGTTTCTAGCCCCCTGCTAAGGCACACCGTGGAGACAGTAGGTGTTGGCTTAAGTAGTTTGGCTGCTGTTATCCACATATGAGTCCTGCATTTGAATTCCTGGCTCCCAATGTCAGCCTTGCCCAGCTATGGCTATTGTGTGCAATTGAGCAAACCAGCAGATGATCTCTGTCTCTCTGCTTTTAAATAACTTTAAAATGTAAGGGGTTGGTGTTGTGGTGCCGTGAATTGAGCCACTGCTTACAATGCCACCATCTTATATTTCAGTGTTGGTTCAAGTCCAGGCTGCTGCACTTCTGATCTAGCTTTCTGCTAATGTGCCTGGCCCAAGTTCCTGGGAACCTGCCACCCTTGTGGGAGACCTGGCTTTAACTTATGGCTCTCATCTTCAGCCTAGCCCAGCACTAGCTCTTGTGTCTATTTCTGCCTTTCTTTCTGATACCCTGTCTTTTGAATAATATTATAATATAAAGGAAATGCATTTTCTGTGATATTTATAAATGTAGACCATTGGTTTAATTTGATTTGGATAATATGAAATAACCTATCAAGGACTTATGCCTATTTACACCCAAGTGTGTTGTACTGAAATCTTGCAACCTAGGCATCAATTTTAGGTATAAGTTGGAACTTTATCATACCAGAGGCAGGGCTTTTGTTACCCCTGACAAAGTTCTCAGTTCTCTTCCTCCTCCCAGTTCAACATGATTGAAATGTCTGCCCTATGCAGCCACCTCCTAGTTACTACCTCCCTATGAGACAGCTAGACACAGCTGGACACAGCCGGCTTGGCTCACTTCACAAACCCTCATACTCGGTCAGTGTGTACACCTGCTACAGTGATCACTTCTGAGTCACAGTATGACTGTATGGAATTTACACCTTCTAGCTTTAAAACCACCACTAGTTAGACCTCCCCATGGGAAACGTGCTCAGGTTAAATTTTGCACCACAGTAAGGGCAAGTCTGTCTCTATTACTTTCCACCTCCTTGATGATTGCATCTCCTGGACGGCCCACCCCTTTCCTTTTGACCCTAACAAGGTGTACTGGCTTCCTGGGAGTCACCTGCTGTTCACAGGCACTTGTGCCTCAGACTGTCTGCTAAGACAACAAGGTATCTGGTGGAAAGCATACTGTGACCATCTGTGACGACCTCACCTGGAGTCCTGTCAGAACAGGGTTAAAGCTGTTAGCCACCCCCCACCCAGAGAACCCTCAAAGATCAAGATACTGGCAAATGCAACATGTTTCATACGCTCCTTCAAGGAACAGCTACATTGAACAATTAACCATAATTACTGATAATGGTACAAATATCTGAAATTTTTAAGTGTTATCATGTTCAAAGGCTGGATTTACCAGGGCCGCCTGGCCAAGGACCATTACACTATTGCTTCTATTTAGAAAGTAATGTTTGAACAGGCAGTTAGAGCAGCTCCGTTATGGTTTTGTAGGCGGCAAGCAGGCAAGCAGCCAATGTGAGAACTCCAGGTTCCTTGTTTCAACACAGGGAAGGTTTGAATATTTAGGAGATTTTCTTCCCAGCAGGGAGCAAGCAAAGGGTGAAGGAGTGACCAAGAAAGAAATTTTAAGTTGCAGTTACTATTTGTTGGCGGATCTGGTTGGTAATTTCATTGGAAAATGAATTGGGCTATTGAGACTTATAAATTATATGCAGAATAATATTTAGACATAACACTTTATGACTGGTAAGTAATGCACATGATAAATTCAAAGTAATGAAAATGGAAGGCATTTTTGTTCTCAAAGCACATAAGGCTGAATACTATTTATAATAAGTATCAATTCAGAGGAAAATAAAACCTCCTTCACTTTGTAGCAATATATTTTCAAGAAGTAAAAAAAAGTTACCATTACCATGCAGCAAAAATTTCATTTTTTTTAGCATCTTGGTTTTTGTATACTAATTTATATCAATAATTTAGGATTGGGGATAAAAACAAATGAGCTTAATATATGTCAATTGTATGAATTTTTTTAAATGAGAAAAATAGCTTTAAATCATGTATGTTCTTTTTCAAGACCATACATATGATGCTTCTTCCAGGTGAAAGATTTGCATTTTTCATCTCCCTACTTGAGAATTGCAACAACAGACGTTCAAAACCAAAATCATTCTAAAGCCCAAACAAGTGCTACGGAAGAGTACTGTCTTGGTTACTCACCTTTGAGAGAAATCTCATTTTCACATCGTCATAAACAACTGGACAGTTGGACAAGTCAATGATCACTCTGTCCATTTCAATGTCATGAAATATCTGTGAACGAACACATGAATTTCAGAACTAAAATCTAGCTGCTAATGAGATATTTGAAACTGACATTCATGCCCCTTGTTCAGCCTTTCCATATTTATCTAGAACTCTGGTCTCCTAGCCTAGCTATCCCATGTATTAACAAGTGTTAAGCATCTTTTCTATAAAGTTGCAGTTCTATAAATGCCTATAAAATTGTTTCTGAATTATAATGGGACACTGTTGAATTGCAAAATGTCCTTTTTTAAAAATTAAGTTTAGTCAAGTAATGCTATTATTTAGTGTTCGCCACTTAATTTTCATATGTTGGGCCTCTTTTGATAATGCAATAAGAAATTCAGTGTTAGAACTGATACTAGTATTCAAGAAGCAGCACAAAACACTTCATCAGAAAGCATGTGTTTGGGGTGGAATCAATGGCCGTTGTAGGCTACTGGATGGAATGACCAAAGATAGAATTTCTAGAACAAACAATTTTGAAATTATACTAAATTTTTCTTGTGTTAATTGATCACTATGTAATAATGCAGCCACAGTGAGAAAGGTCTGTGCTGGATTCCGTGAAAGAGTAAGGTACAGACTCAATCCTTTCAGGATGCACTTACAAGGAGAAGTAGTCAAGTCAGTGTCAGACTATATGAGGCGGACTGAGTGTGCTGTTAGGAACTGCAGTGGGTGGTACTGATAGAGACGGAGAGGACAATCTTTATCAAGGAGGTGGATTCTGAGTTGAGCACGGAAGGGTTCGGATAATTGAACGAGGACACCAAAGACAGAATCTAGTGCACACATGGGGACCATCATGAGGAGAAGGAAGGGAGAAGACAGACAAAAGCATGACACAGAGATTAGAACTGTATTCTAAGAACCAGAGGTGATGGTGACCTGACCTACTTGGAATGGAGCCTGCAGCTTGGTTACTGATGGAAATCAGCTCAGGTCTGGTAGGTTTATCATAGCTTGAGAGCTCAAGAGCCATGGAAATAAAAGTGAAGTTGCCAGAGAATATGGTGGTGGGTGTCTGGTATGATAAAGTGCCCTAACCGCTAACATGTGTTGATAGTTATTTGGTAATTTATAGCTAACAAAGTAATTTCACATTTATTACATAATTTGATTTTCATTACACTTGAAAGGTGATCTTTATTTAATAGATAAGAATGTTGAATTGAAGATGTTAGCTGGCACTGTGCATGGACACATGACGTTCTTTTGCTCTACCTACAGCTCTTCATAATGGGAGCACTATTTTAGGATGCATGTTGTAGAACTCTACAGCCTGTGTTGTGTAAGAAGAGAAACAAGGCCAGGAAACTATTGTAGAAAGCTAGGCATGAGCAAATAAGGTCTTAGAACATGAAGGAAGTGAGAGTGGAGAACATTTGTAAAGGGATGATTAGCAGAAATTGGTGACTAATTAGACGTGGGTGGGGCAGGGCCAGGCAACGGGAGATTCAAGGATACTAGCACATCTTAAGACCCAAGTGCAAGAATGATGTTGCCATCTGCAGAAGCAGAGGAAAAGCTCTGTTTGATCAATTCGGATTTGATTACTGTATTTGAATTGCTGGAGAAAAGACTGTCCATTTCGTGGTACTTTCATCTAGCAACAGAGTGTGCTCAGAAATATCTATTCTGTGAGTGAGTGAGCAAATGGTAGATTAAAGAAGGGAAATGGCTGAGTGTGACCAAGAATGCAACATTTAAGAAATGAGAAGAGATGGCAAGTATCAGGCCCAGGTAAATTCCCTCAGCTAAAGGAGACAAAGAAAGAAAAAAAGATCAGGAACAGTGTGGGGAACAGAGGAGTCTGAGACAAAAGCATGGAAGGAATTTTGAAAGTTTACATTTTTTAGACTCATTCATGAAAGAAGCTTTCTTATTGTTCCAGAAAAGTTCTATAAGGAGTCTTTGGCAAAACATCGACTACCAGGTTTCACTGCTTTGGGGAAAGAGACTCTCCTCCCCATCCCCATCCATATGCTTGCATCTGGGGCACGGCTAAGTTTGCAGATAACTGGCCCCACTCCAGATCTCCTGATTCATGCTTTGGGGCACAACTTAGGAATGTGCATCTTTACAAGCCTGTGGGTGATTTTCACGCACACTACAATTTGAAGATCAGTGCTGTCTAGTAAAAGATAAAATGACCAAGAGGTAGAAATGGCTAATTTTGATGAGAATCTGAAATTAAAATCTTGATAGATTCCTGGGAACATGCTCAGCATTTGTGGATAAGTAAAACATGACGCCATAATTCGAAATGAAATAGATTCTAGAAAATGCTCTGAAAAATTTTTGAACAATGTGGTTAGTTTAGCTCTGGTTTGTATCAAACCCAGGGTCGCCAGGTTGAATGGTGATTACGAAGCAACATAACATGTTTGTGGTGAATGATGGTTTGGGGAGACTAACGTGCTGATTTGACAGTGTTAAAACAGACATCAGAATTTTCAGTTCACATGCTTTTCTCTTACCTTGCAATTTTTGGAAGAACATGAATAAATTAATTTTTGCTTTGTGAGCACTTGAACATTTAGGTCACTTCCATCACCTTTTCCAACACCTGTGTGAAAGTAAAAAGATAGGCTAGTTACAGCAAAGATCAAAATATCTTGCCAATTAACATACAGATGGAAAAGAGAAAAAAACTATTATAATCAGCACTGCACCAGTCAACATTTGCATTTTGTTATTGAAAGACTAGGCTTCAAACCCAGTTTTGTCTCCTAAAGCAGAATTTTCAAGATGAAGGAATGAACGAAAGGAAAGAAAGACAAAGGGAGAGAGGGAAGGAGGGAGAGAATGAGAGGGGAATAGAGAAGAAGGAGAGAACAAAGAGAAAAACACGTATCGTTTCCAAGACCTAAAATCTCGTCACATCAGTGTCCCCCCCCCCAAAAAAAGCTCTACAAGGAATGACTTGCAATCTTTGTAGCACGTGTTGATCTCTTCAGAGTCCTAATCGCAATGTTTCCCAATAATAGGGCCTGCATTCCTTATGCTCTACTCTAAGTCCAAAGCCTAATGCAATCTCTATGAAAATAGAGTAGCTATACCTAAACATTCCTGTGGTGTTCAGTAGATATTTATAGACAGATGTTTCACTTTTTCATTCAATTGGTCCACTTTCTTTAGCATTTCCTCAAAAACTTGTTTCTGAAATCTCCATTTAGTTTTTATTGCCTTTCATTCAACCCTGTATCACTTAAAATATGAATAGAACTAAGTAATCTCATAAAGTTATACAGTAATCATGCTTTAATTTTCATTCTTTTATTTTCATTGTATTTGAAAGGCAGGTTGATACAAGATGCAGAGAAATCATCCATTTGCTCATTGACTAGCTCCCTAGTGGCCACAGCAGACAGGAGTGGGCTGGGCTGGGCCAAAGCCAAGAGCTCCTGAACTCAATCCAGGCTTTGCACGTGTGTGGCAGAGCCTCAGGTACTTCAGCTATCTCCTGCTGTAGCAGAAAATTGCCCAAGCTCTTGAGTTTCTGAATCCATGTGAAAGATCTGGAAGAAGCTCCTGGCTTCAGTCTAGCCCAGCCCTGGCCACTATGGGCATCTGGGAAGTGAACCAACTGGTGGATGGAAAATGACTCACGTTCTCACTTTTTCTCTCTGTAATTATGCCTTTCAGATAAATTTTTAAAATCTTACAAAATAAAAAGTATGTCTCCATCCAACTTTGTATGAAACCTCAGAAGGCTGACAATCCCAAGCATCTGGCTCCATGGCACCTGTGCTGTCTGGTACCTGGCAACTCCTTGGTGTGGGTGGCTCAGTGGGTCTTATTTTAAGGGATTCAAGAAATATCACCCTGTGCTGCCTCTGGCAGTGGGACGGTGAGGTCCCATCCCCTCCACTCTGAGACATTCCTGCTTTTCCACCTCCCCTAAAACTGTGCTGTGCAGGATGATATAGACAAAAATGTGGGATTTCAGGCCAGTTCCCCTCCCTCCATACTTTCTTTTCTTTTTCAGGTCGTAAAAAATAGGCAATCTGAGCAATTTCTTTGCTTTCCTGTTAATAGTAGATGCCAACTCCAGCTTTGTCTCCTTGTGTTCTGGAAATGGATAAAGAGTTCTGAAGTTGGCCAGAATTTTTACTATTACTAATACTACTAATAATAGCACGTGGCTCACAAACTGCTACAGCTCTGCTTTCTGTAAGTTCTACATTTTCTCACAGATCAGGTGAGGCGGGGGCAACTTCCTCACAGGAAGCTCTCCTTGGCCACCAACAGTACAATCAGCTCTTTATACATGTACTTCACTCTGCCCTCTGCTGACCACTCAAGGCCCCCTTAAGGGCAGAGAGGACACTAGCACAGGTTCTGGACCCAACCAGGTCCTCAGGTCCATGGCAAGAGGGAAAAGAAAATCATATTTGCTTTTCAAGTATTCAAGACAGTTTGATGGAGTGCTGGCGGGAGGAGGCAGGGGAGAAAAGAAAGGAAAAGACTTGGGTTTTGAGGAACAAGGATCCATAAAAGGAGCAGGAGAGAAGATGATGGCAGGAAGCCTCTGCCAAGATGAACCTTGAATCAGAGATGAGTGTGAGGAAGAAGTGATTTCAAAGGCATTCTAGGCTTTTCTCCCCTGGGTGCAAGAGGCTGAGGCCAGAGGAGCAATGATCACAGCAGGGGAGGGTGCGGTGGCAATGTGGTCATGCGTTGCTAGGCTGGTGGTCAACTACAGGGGGAGGAGTCAAAAAGACAGCTGGGAGTTAGGCTCATTCATACACAGCTGCAAGCAAAACCTTCCCAAAGGCTGGGAATAGTGCTCCCCACCCCCAGCCCAGTTCTTCAATGATACATCAAGCACTTACTGTGAATGGAATAGATAATAATTTTGTTCGGCTTCAGTATTTTTCTTGGAGGGAGATCCCAATGATACACACGTTTCACTTTTTCAAAATATCCAACGTATCTATTCTGCAAAGCAACAGTAAGTTCCACTTATATGGAGATGAGAAGCCAAAAGTCAATGTTCTTATTGTGGGGGGCAGGGCATAGAGCTTGATAAGGGCAGTAAGAAACTATGGAAATACTTATTGGGTGACATTATCTAACTAGATGTTTTTATTTATGTGGCCTCACAACTGAATATCTGCCTTGGGGAGGAAAAAAGTATTACACAAGGGAACCAAAAAGGAGTCAGGTCTTGCATATAGGCTTGTAGATTACAATGTTATCAATGTGTAGATGGTTGGGACTGAGTTAGACAAAGCTCTGTGATGTGGTGGAGAATAGGTCATGGCAAAATGGTCTTTGTGAAAACAAAAGAGGACACCTTGCATCTGTCGGGTAGATTACAGCCCATTCTCTTGTCTCTGCCAGTTAGTGTTCTTTACTTCCACCCCCCACCCCCGCCCCAAGTTCTGTTTTTGCAAGGAAGCTTGCAATTATATTAGCCTCATCCTTTCTGTGACAAGCTGCTCATCACAGCTGTCCTTGAATCTTTCTTCAAGAAATTGAAAAATTCTGCTACTGAACCAGCTAGACCCAGAAGTTCAGAGATTTCCCTATCCACCAGGGAAAAGGACTCATCAAATTAACTACTCTTTCTACCAGAAAGTTCTTAACTGAGGGGTGACTGTAACATGATCAGGAGAAAGGCCCACTGTGGAGGGTCAGAATGTGATGGTGTACTGAGAATTGTCACCAGACATAAAGGGAATCCTGTGTTGGGGCCTTGCCAGCACAGCTCTCAGATCTGGGATCTGAAGTGAAGTCAGTAGCTATCCTAGTGAATCAGAAGACATTCAGTTGTAGGGTATGGGATGTCAGTTGTGGACAGGGCTACAAGAGAAATGCAGAAGGGAAGACATGTGGGGAAAGTCTTTGAAAGAGCTGCATCAAACGTACCCTTGACTCTTGACACCAGGCTTATGGCAGGAGGACATATGATGTTGATAAGTTGGCAGTCTAAATGTGCTAGAGCATGGAATATGCCACAATACAAAGTATAAGAAAAGTTTGAGGGGCCCGGGGCGATAGTGTAGTGGTTAAAGTCCTCGCCTTGCACATGCTGGGATCCCATATGGGTGCTGGTTCTAATCCCGGCGGCCTCACTTCCCATCCTGCTCCCTGCCTGTGGCCTGGGACAGCAGTGGAGAACGGCCCAAAGCCTTGGGATGCTGCACCCACATGGGAGATCCAGAAAGAAGTTCCTGGCTTTGGACTGACTCAGTTCCAGCTGTTGCGGTCACTTGGGGAGTGAAACATCAGACAGAAGATCTTCCTCTCTGTCTCTCTTCCTCTCTGTATATCCGCCTTTCCAATAAAAATAAACAAATCAACAAATCTTACAAAAAAAGAAAAGGTTTGAGAAATCAAATTGTAGAAGATACTGAGAACCAGGTTACAGCACAGTGTTTTGCCATTGGCAACAGGGAGGAATCATAGACTGAGCACAGGAATGACATGTTGGTGTATTTTAGCCTAGGGTCTATGTCTATCTTCGTTGTGTTGGTGGTGGCTGGTTGGTTGGTTGGGGGTGGCTGGTTTGGCTTAGGTGTGAGAGAAAAGTATTAGAGGATAAGGCTGAATCCTTGCATTCCTTCCCAAGATCTAGGGGAAGCAGCTATAGTATTCTGCTATCAAAGACCGGGGTACCTGAATATTTAGCTACCATCACTTCATGCAAAGATAACCTCTCATTCATAGGCATATTCCCAGCTACCTAAGAATTCTCCAAGAGCTCTCACTTTGGTTTGAGGGAAACAATACAAAAGAGAATGGGTGCTCAGCATGGATTACAATGGGCTTCAGAGTTTGATTTAGCGTTGGTGTCAGAGTTTACGTTTTCTGAACTTCATTATCACAATCTGTAAAATGGGATATATTTAACCCTACTCATAGAGTAAATAAGAATATTAAATGAGATAGTGAGTATAAAACTTCAGCATGGCTCAACAAGGTCTCCACTGTTGTAATTCCATAGGATAAATGTCCTGATTCTGCAATAAACAAGTCACAGGAATAAAAATGAGGGGATGCTATAAACTGAAACGGACTTAAGAGACACAGCAACTGAATAAAATGTGTGGACCTTGTTTGGATCTCAACTAAAGCAAAGTAAATTTTCAAAGATGCTCAGACAATTGTGAAAAATCAAAAAAATAAAATAGAAACTTAAAATTATTATTAGGATTTTATAATGTGACAAATGATGCTAAAACTTTGGATTTTTCTTCAGATCTTAGATTAGATGTTATACCAAAATATTTGTAGGATAAAATGATCTGGTGGCTCAAATTTCCTTTAGAATAACTTAGGGTTAGAAGGAGAAAGTAGAATGTAGGGTTGGGGAATTTGACTAGAGGAGGGAATTAATTGAACATGATAGGTCGATTATTGGATTAAGTGATTATTGAGGGGTTGGTTATATAATTCTTTGTGTGTGTGTGTGTGTGTGTGTGTGTGTGTGTGTGTGTACGTCTGAACATTTCCATAAAGAGCAGGAACAAATTCAGCAATATCCACATTAATGTTCTGAGAATTAAATGAGATACTTATAAGTACAGTCATGATTAGTAGCTTTTGAAAAACGTTTCTTTTCCCTTTTCTTTCTCTTTTACTATGTAGCTTCTCCCTCTGCCTTCCCTTCCACTCCTACAGGCAAATCATCCAGAAACAGTTTCTGTGATGTTCTGTGAGGGCTGAATTGCCCTGCTACTATAGCTTGTGAAAGACTCAGTTCCTCTCTATAGGGGAACTCAAAGGCTACTGGCTTTAGGTAACCTTCAGGGATCTGGCATTGTAGAAAAGCAATCAACTCCTTCACTCTGTAAACCACTACAAATATGAAGTGGTGAGCTGGATGCTCTACGGGGAGGATGCAGTGCTCCCCAACCGTGGGCAGTAACTGAGGAACAGCCCTCCACCTTGGAGAGCAGCTCAAGTCTACTGCAAGACACTTGAGTGCCACCATCTGATTCCAAATGATACCGGTATTAGGGTGTGATCCTAACCTGCTTCTCCCAAGGAATTCTCACCCTTTAAAAAGAAAACTTACTTGAGAAGGAGTTTCTACTCCTTGATATTTAGTGCTACTGGTTTGATCAGTTCGCCGACGTCCAAAGAAAGACAGACTATCCTACAGAGAAAAGAACAACATGACCACGGCTAATCTTCATCCTCCCCATTCCCATAGTAGATATTTTTTAAGCTTCTAAGGACACATCACTTCTTTTAGGGAGAGTTCTTTGAGTTAATCATGGTATTTAAAGGGCCACACATCAAAGATTTTTTTTTCTGTCATTCATAGATTATTAGGGGCATGGAATCTCAGAGCTGGAAAACTTTTAGGACTACCTGGTCCAACTCTTCCTACCCCTCCAATAGAAAAATGAGAAGACCAAGACCAAGGAAACCAGGCAACCTGCTGTGGAGAGCATGTGGGCCGTTAGAGAAAGCACCAGTCTCTGGCCCTCACTCGAACCCTGGAGCATGACTTTCATTAAAAAAAAAAAAACACTATAATTCATGTTAATAAATCTAGGAAATATACACATATGCTCCCATGAAATATTGATATTTTCTCATCTACTCTAGTCCATTTTAGTAAGGAAATATTCCTCAGTAAGTTGCTTTTACAACTCACCGAAAAATAAGGATTCATAACTTAAACAGGGTCTTAGAACACCTACTTTGAAAACATGTGTATCTAAAATTATAAAGTCAGTCATGGCAAGATTAAAGTGTTGGTTGATGCGTGTAACCCTCACCTTTGCTTCTCTCGACCACAGATCAACGGACTTGAGCTGCTGGAGGGATGTGCTTAAAGGGCAGCTCCCCAGCAATGCTACAGCAGAACGATGACTGGGAACCCTGCTTCCAGATATGGGGACAGCTTGCCTTGTCTTCTCAGCCATTTTCAGATGTCACAGACATCATGCATATTGAGTCTGCACAAATAATAACTAGCTCACGAGAAGCTCTCTTCTGACTGGGAAAGCAATGCCTGCTATTTATATTTAGCAATTTCAAGGATAGGTCCTTTGGAGAACTCATCTAATCAACCTTGAGATTTTCTCCATGAGAGAGGAACAAGTCTCCTGTTCCTTTACTGGTGTTAAGTCAAATGCCTTGGTTCCTTGGCTGTATTTGCACCTCTCCTTAATCTTGCTCCTACTGGGTCTTCCCTCTAATTAAAATATTAATAGCAGCAGTCTAGCAGCCAAAGTCTTTGCCTAGCACGCTCCAGGATCTCATAGGGGAGCTTGTTCATGTCCCCACTGCTCCACTTCTCTTCCAGCTCCCTGCTTGTGGCCTGGGAAAGCAGTCGAGGATAGCCCAAAGCCTTGGCTCCCTGCACCTGTGTGGAGACCCAGAAGAAGCTCCGGGCTCCTGGTTTCAGAACGGCTCAGCACTGGTCATTGCAGATGGAAGATCTTTCTGTCTTTCATATCTCTGTAAATCTGACTTTCCAATAAAAATAAATAAAAATTTTAAAATATTAATACATAATGACTTTTGCATTCTTTTTTTAAAGATTTATTTTTATTGCAAAGTCAGAGATATACAGACAAGAGGAGAGACAGAGAGGAATATCTCCCATCTGACGATTCACTTCCCAAGTGACCACAATGACCGGTGCTGTGCCAATCTGAAGCCAGAAGCCAGAAGCCAGGAACTTCTTCCAGGTCTTCCATGCTGGTGCAGGAACCCAAGGTTTTGGGCCATCCTCGACTGCTTTCCCAGGCCACAGGCAGGGAACTGGATGGGAAGTGGGGCTTTCAGGATCAGAACTAGCGCCCATATGGGATCCTGGTGTATTCAAGGTGAGGACCTTATCCTCTAGGCCACTGCGCCGGGCCCTGCATTAGTTTTTATATTAAAAATATTGTGTTACAATTATTTGTCCTAACTATTGTGACTTTTTTATATCCCCTTAAATTTTGCACCTTACAGATCTTATACCCTAGTCCTGGTTCAGAGTAAGGAGTAAATCATTTAATAATTTCAAGGCGGATTAGTGGATATTAAATCAGGGAGTAAACACTGCTTTCTGATCATCACTCCTTCAATTACAATCTCTCCTCATCACCAGGGCTTGGAGAGCCATCTGAACATCCCCAGTAGTGAGGTTTTTCAGAACCGGTACTTTTCATCAGTACAAGACACAGTCTGTAGTCACATCTTTCATACCTCTGCAGTATAAAAGAGCTGACTGGAGATAAGGCAGGCACAGACCATGGTCCCAGTTCTTCCTAAAGAAGGAAACAATTCAGTTTGAGAATCAAGTTCATGGTAGCACTTGGTACAAAGATACATGCAGAAATGTCCAGTTGGCACAGGCAGGTAGTCCGCTTAGTCACCAGTTAAAAACCAGACCTCCCCTGTCTACTTTTCTATAAAATGACTCCTTGCCCAGGGAATATCCCCCTCACCCAGGACCTGGAGTGGTATCACATACTCATTTCTCTTTCCAGGCTCATGAGAAGCCAGGCAATGGGAAGCAGCATCTCCTTTCTTGTTCCACAGATGCAAGATGAAAGTAAAAACATCTCTCCCCACCCACTCCCTGCCCACACTATCTCTGAATATGGTCCACATATGTCTGTGATTCCCTCACTGTCTAAATAAACTTTACCAAAAAAAAAAAAAAAAGAAGAAAGAAAAAGAAAAATTCAAGTACTGTCTGATCTCACTCAAGTGAATCTAAAGATAGTAGATATCATAGAACTAGAACAGAATTGTGGTTAACCAAGAGGGCCACATTTACAGTTTGGTTAATGGGTACAAAACTACAGTTAATAAGTATGGTAACTATTGTCAATAATGATGTATTATACCTGTATGTCTCAAAGAGGTTAGACTTCTGAATGTTTCATCACAAATAAATGAAAAGCATTTGAGATGGTGGATGTGCTGGTTACTCTTACTTTTGATCCTCAAACACTGTATATATATGTGTGTGTGTGTCTATATATGTATCAAAAATCATGTTGTATAACAAATTTATACAGCTTTTGTCATTTAAGACTAAACTTAAATAAAAGTAATGCTACATTCTAAAAGTAAACACCATTTCATTTGGATAAATGTAAGCTGAAAATCAAAAACAGCGAAACGCAAGTAGTCAACGTGGAGACACATGTTCAGCCTTTCTTAGCTCCTTTTTCTGTTTTCTTCCCTTCCCTCTTATTTCCCCTTCCTCCTCTTTCTCTGTTTGCTCCTTTTCTCCTTCCCGTCCTTCAGTTTGGAAGCTAAGATTTTACAATACTCATAAGTGTGGGCATTTGCCCCAGTTAAAGCCTTGGACCCCCACTTCTCACACCAAGTCTTGGCTCCATTCCTGACGCACACCCTACAAGGCAGCAGGTGGAACTTGGTGTTTGGTCCTGCTGGGAAACCTGGATGTCCCAGCTCTCTGCTCTGGCCTGGCCGGGCCCCAAACCACTGCACGTGTTTATCTGTGGATATAAGATTAGTCTGTCTCCATGTTCTCCTGCCCCTCAAACAAGTAAACAAATAATTACAACTGCTTAAAAATGAGGTAAGATGAGGCTGCTGTTTTTTTGTTTTGTTTTGTTTTACTTCCATGTATTTTTTTAATTTCTTTAGGGAAAAAAAAGTTGCTTTACCTTTGCCACCTTTACAGTGAATCACTACAACGTTTTCCTTGTCTTCATCCAGCCAGTCGGTGACTTCTTTAGAAAACTCCACCATGTCACTGATTTTTAAATGTAAGATTTTTAGTTGAATTAAAGTGTTTCCAGAAGGTTCAAGCCCAGTGTGCTTAGCCCTCTTCTGCCAGAAGGTGTAACATAAAACTTACCTCAGTGAAGGGACATTATGATCATCAATCATAATTCTATGTACTCTGTTATGAAAATGCTTGGGGTTATAGCCTTTTTCACCTAAAATAAATAGCACAGATGTTATACCTTTCTACCTAGTAGTATAATATAAAATTATAAGTTAAAAATTTCTCAGAAATTCCTGATCCACTTTCAAAGGCAGCTTTTTGAATGTTGCTTCAAAACAAACAAAGGTCTCAAAAAACACAAGAATTTTAGTGATTTATCCATTTCAGGTCATCTAAGTCCAATCTATTTTTCGTTTACTAGAATTTAACTTAAATCTTCGCAGACTATTTGTTATATTCTTGTAGGGTAGTTAAAGAAGCAATGGAGCAAAGGAAACGTAACCAAAATGTTTTCTGTCTGAAAATGTCCAAAGTAGAAAACAAAAATTAGGAGTGACCAGAGTGATAACCTGGGGACATAATTGGTTCAGTTCTTTCTACCTTTTAGTTTTCTCTTTAAAATTTTAATTCACTGTATAATCACAGGCTTAGTTCACAACTAACCATAATATTCAAAAAGTAAAACGTAGGAAGAACACAGATCGCAGGAGGATAAACAAGGGCTGACATTGACAAGCCTTCCCCACCCCAGTCTAGAATCCTGCTCTCGTCACAACTCATTCCTCTAGTGAGTTAGAGAATACAATTATTTTTTTAAAATCTCTGTCCTCAATGCAATATTTCAAGGAAAAGGAGGAATCTTTTCCTAACCCTGATACCTCTGGGGAAGACCTTCTACACAATGGGTCCCCTTCCACTTTCACTTCTTCGGTTTGAACCAGCCTTGCAGATTTTTGAACTCACTCTCTAATTGCTACAGATGCTTAGAATTAAGTGACATGTAAAACCAAAGTTGTCTCCTTCCATGCAGAATCATTTTCTATAATAGAGTAGGAAAACATCAAGTCATGTACATACTGCATAGGTTGTAAACTCGGTAGTGGTCTAGATGTTTGGTGTCCAGGAACCTCACAACTTCCTACAAGAAAAAGACACGTGTGTTACATATCCAATATAGTCTAGGAGCTAGGAGGAGGGACACACTGAGTATTACTTTTTATTTGACTTTCACTCACGCTTCGTAGAGGACGTTAACAGACTATGAAGAAAGTAGATGCACTGCAGGTCATGTCTAACCCGTGAGTGGTTTTCAGATAGTTCACAAAGTGAGCTTGGCTACTCATATCAGCTTCTAGTCTAAATATGCATCATTTAATACCACCAGAGAAGGCAATTTGCCGGTTAGCTAATCTGACATAAATTTGTTCAAATAATTAATTCATAGTTAACCTATAGTTACGTAAATCTAATCCTGGGTAGATGTTTTTTAGATGATAATCTATTATTGTCTATCTAAGTATTACATAAATAAATACATATAAAATATGCAGTATTAGTGTATGTGAACATGAAAACAGACAATTTCTATCAAATTTTAGATAAGAGGTAGCAACATGGAGAAATTTTGGTTCATTTTTAAAAAATGCATGTACATATATGTGTGTATAAATAAATAAATTAAAAAATAAATAGTGGATTTACTTAAAATATAGTGAATACTGACATTCTTATGCAAAAAATGTTTTCAGAACATTTATTCACTTCAAATACAGACACACATTTGTGTCACTGTGCCATAGCAAAAATAACCATCATAAAATTCAAAACATGATAAATATGACTCTCAGGGAAATGTTTACTGGCTGAATGCTTATGAAAAGAAGCACGATACAACAATAACAGCATCTGTCACACTGATCACCACTGCCTGAGTCCTCTGTCTGCATCGCACGGGGACTTCAACAATGGATCAGATCTCTTACATCAAAATATAAATCCAGATAAACTGAGAAATCAGATGTGAAAGCTCACAAACATCTCTCCAAGAAATTTCAGTGAGTATTAATTCATCGCATAAGGGAGAACTAGTATTGACTCATGGACAATAAGTAGGTTTAGGTTTTACTTCACAAAAATTTGAATTTTTTGTTTCAAAAAATGTCACCACTGAGGAAAATATTTTTCAGTAAAACTAAGGATTATGGCGAGTCTAATAAATCAATAACTCATTAATACTTTTCTTCCCCCCATAGATAAATGGATCAAGTACATACTAACCAACAAGAGAAAAAAAAAATCTAACACCCTCAAAAAGCATATAATAAAGATGTCAAAACAAGAAAGAGGGGCTGGCGACATGGCATAGTGGTCTAGGCTTCCACTTGAGGCACTGGCATCCCATATGGGCACCAGTTCTTGTTCTGGGTACTCCACTTCCTATGCAGTCCTGCTTGCAGCCTGGGAAAGCAGCAGAGAATGGTTCTTGGGCCTTGAGCCCTTGCTCCCACAAAACAGACTTGGGGAAAGCTCCTGGCTTCTGGCTTCAGATTGGCTCAGCTCTGGCCTTTATTTAGGAAGTGAATTGGTAGGTGGAAGATCTCTGTCTCTCTTCCTCACCATAACTCTTTCAAATAAAAATAAATTTTTAAAAATCATGAAATGTGTTTTAACCCATGAAATTAGACTTTCTAGTTCTGAAGAGAAAATCCAAATATTGGCAAATTTGGCTTGAAAATAAAGCCTTTGATTTATCGCTGATATAATTCCTTGGATTTGACAACATATATTAGGAACCTTAAAACACTCATACTCTTTCCCCTAGGGAACTTCTCTATCCAGAAAAAAAGCCTTATGCACTAAAATGTTTGTTGCTGCATTATTGACAATAAAAACCAACAAATATTGAACAGTAGAGTTTCATAGAATTAATCCTTCACTCTTTCAACACATACATTTTTCCCAGTGGTCAATTTATGTCTACCTTTCATACCTTTCAGTATTCATTGTTTTTCTAAGAAAATTGGTATACCTGGATGGTTAAGTTTCAGGGACTTTAATGAATCTTCATGTTTCCACAACATAAAACATTTATAGAAAAGCTCAGCTATGTCAATAATCTGATTCTTCTGGTCATAATCTGCCACTAGATGGATATTCAGTTGGAGCAGGATGAAAAAGGAGCAGATGACTAAGATCTTTAGGAATACAGGTACCGTTTATCTGAACTTCCTCATTAGCCTTGCCTTTGCATGGGCTTACGAAACTGTCAGTCCCTGAAACTCTTCCTCACGATTGAAAAATGCTGCCTACTCTTTGAAAGTCGGCTTGTGACCTCCTCTACTTTTGCATCTTTTAAAATCTGTCTGGTTCTTCTCTCTGCCATTGTTTGATTTAGAGGCAAGAGTGCTCTCTCCTTGGGTAGGAGTGGCTGTAGTGTTGACACTTGATACTTTCATCCTATTATCTATTTCTCCACTAACCGAATCCCACATCTATACAGTTTTTGCTGCTTCCCGGCAGCACTTGACATCCCTCTGCTAGCAAGTCTACCACCTACAGGATTTTGCTGTCTGTTGTGCATGTTCAGCGCTGTTCCAAACATGACCTGCAGTTTCATGGTGGTGTGAGGATAAAGGAGAAACACAGAGCTGATTAGCATCCTTTCAGGAGTCAAGGGCACCAGGTCTGAATTTTCTATCCTTCGCTCTACTTTGACTTTGAGTAGTTTTTGATGGTTCTTATCTCCAAAGAACTGGCAAAATTCCTTGGCTTTTCCCCTGCTTTTCTAAACATTATAAATTAGCACATACTAAGTTTTTAAGCTTTCTGTAGTATGCAAATACCAATGGTATGAAAGAACACTATACTAGAAGGATTCGTGCATTACTTTAGTAATGTCCCAGAGTGACTAAAGATTTAGGAGTGCACAGAAATCGTTATAATTTGCATGACAGTTTGACATGAACTAAATATTTCTGAGCATGCTTCTTTTACGTGTCATTTCAGACAAGCACAAAGTACAATGATTGAACTCAATATTTTCAAATTTACATGTTCAAAGTCATGTAAGCTATAATTTCCTTGTGGAAATTTCTGACTACCAAACTTACACCTGCATCCCCAGCTATATTTTTTGATATTATTATGTAAAAAATTGTGTAAAGTAGGTTTTGTAGAATTTAAATATTCAGTCTCATCATGAAGTGGCCTGTAATTTCTCTGCACAAATTTCTTGTTTTTTTTTTTTCATTATGGTCTTTGATAAAGCAACAGCTGTCAATCACATTTAAAAAAAATGACAACAATACTGAGTGAATCTCACAGAATTTACTTTTGAGGTTAACAAGTCAATCACAAAAGGTACTGGATGCTTCCGCTTATGTGAAATTTAGTAAAGAGAGAAAATTCTGGTGACAGAAGTCAAAACAGAAATTACCTCCCATTTTTTTGTGATATTAACCAGAAAGGGGTTAGAAAAGTTCAATACCTTGTGAGAGGTATTGAGTCCATGTATGCTTATATATAGTTTCAGCATGATATACGCTTAGTAATAGCACAATGTATAGTACTATCATACTTCAGCAAAACTGCAATGTTTGTATATATAGATTTCAGAGTCATATGTTGCATAATGCCATTTCAGCTAACGGCAGACTGCACACATGTCTAGTGAAGTCACAGATGTCTTGTTTGTGTAAGTACACTTTGGTACTTGCACAAAGACATGCTATCACCTCACAGTACATACCCTCACCTTTAAGCAATGAATAACGATATTTTTATAAAAGAATGCATACATGCAAATAGGTAAGTACATGTTTATTGAGTATACCAAGTATTGTAAACTGCACTCAGGTACACATACGTGGAAGTTTGTTAATGACTTTCAGCTGGAATTTCATTGTAAACAGCACTGTATGTTTGAAATGAATTTAGTCATCTACAGAGTATGGTGAAATCTGCCTTCAGTGTGGTTTATGATCCTAACTTAAGAACACACATGTTAGTTATGGCATTCCCATTGATGCTTCTCCTTCATGAGAGACTACAAAAATGGTCGCAGCTCTTCGCAGTTCATCCCATGGAGAGAGAGTATGTTGAATCTTAACTGGCTTTGCAATTTACTTTTCCCAGTAGAATGTGGTAACCCCAAACAAGCCTGGCTTTGCATTCTTTTCCTGATTCTCCAGGTACCCTTGCTGCCACTGCCCCCATGTGAGCAAGCCTTCACTAGCTTGCTGGAGAATGAGACCCATTTGGAACTCTCAGATCAAGCCATTTTAGACCAGTCAGTCTTCAGATGACAAAGTAGTTACCAACAAATGTGTGAATGAGCTCAGGTGAGGTAGTGAGTGTTTTTCCTGATCATCAGAACAACTCGGGCTCAAATCAAATTCATAAACAATAATAGCATGAGCTGTATAAAGGAATGCTGTTATAAACCAAGGTTTGGGGTGATTTGTAACACATAGAAGTGAAGTGATATCGTTATTTGAAAGAGTAAGATTTTACAAGAATCTAACATTCCTGGGTCATTAGTAAGTTATGATGACTCCATCAATGTTCACTGAGAAATTAATATTTGTTAGATAAACTTACCTTAATTGGATTCCTATAGAATGATTGTCTTCCAGAAGATGGAAATGACATGGCAATAATACGCTCTGAAAATAAAAATAATTCTTATTATGAACATGATTACAAATATGAACATTTATTTATGTTAGACTCCTTTTCCATAGAAAGAACTTTTGAGGCATGGGCATTGTAGTGTCATAGGTTAAGTCACTCCTCATGATGCTGACATACCATCTGGGTACAGTTCAAGTCCCAGCTGCTTCATTTTCAATCCATCTCCCTGTTAATGAGCCTGGCAAAGCAGTGGAAGACAGTGCAAGCACTTGAGGCCTTGCCACTTCTGTGGCAAACCTAGATAAAGCTCTGACTCCTGATCTCAGCCTGGCCCAAGCCTAGCCATTATGGCCATTTGGGATAGTGAGCCAGCAATCATCAGAAGTTCTCTCTGCCTCTTCCTATATCTCTACCTTTCAAACACAATAAATCTTTGAAAAAAATTTCAAGTATAAAGTCGACACAGAAAGCTAACACACACTTAGGTTAATCAAGATAATATAATAAATTATCCAATGAACTGATGGTGTTATACCCAAGATTCAGTTGTTTCCAGTCAAGTGCAAAAGTGTTGACCACTCAGTCTGGAGTGTCCCCTGTATTTGGAATTTCTTTTTTTCCCCAAAGATTTATTTATCTTTATTGGAAAGTCATGTTTACAGAAAAATGAGAAACAGACAGAATTATTTTCCATCTGCTGGCTCACTCCCCAAGTGGCTGGAGCTGAGCTGATCCAAAGCCAGGAGCCGGGAGCCTCTTCCAAGTCTCCCACACAGATACTGGGTGCCAAGGCTTTAGGTCATCCTCTACTGCTTTCCCAGGCCACAAGCAGGGAGCTAAGGGAAATGGAGCAACCAGGACACGAACACACTGGTCCCATTTGGCATTTATTTTTCAAACATCACAGGAAAAGATAGCTCTGGGTTCCAGCGATGTTGAGAAGTTTCAGGGTTTCAGTACTTCTGACAGAAAACGTATGACCTACCAAGCAGTGATCTCGATCTTTGGGGGAGAGAAGAGGTTTTTCTGGAATCCATAAAACCCATGGTAACTATCAGAACTCAATAAATTCTAAAGAAACCTAAATGACACCAGCATTTGACTTCCTGTGTGACAATCAGGTACTCCTAATTTGATATAAAGCAGAGATTGTCCAGTTCCAGGGCTAAACTACAAATGAGTCAGACCATCCCACTGAAATCTGAGAAGAACATGGCTTAAAAATGGCAAAAGCAATCTAAAAATTGAACTATATAGCTTCACATACCAGTTACATAAGTGAGATCCAGGTCAAATCCATCTTTCTGGTATCGTCTTTTGTTTCCTGAAACCTGAGAGTTAAAACAATCATTAATTTATTTGTAAATCACAAACCAACATAAAAATAAAGAATGATATAAAGCTACGTATAGCCCTTGCCGTTATGTCCCCAAGCAGATATTCTGCCCACTCACCAGTCTTCTGGTCAGCGTTTCAAGTTGTCTTTTTTGATGAGCCAGATGGAAAACTCTTATCAAAATGATAAGCCGTAGAGGACGGAAGAGGACTGCGAGTCTAACAACAAATTTAAGAATTAAAAGATTTTTCGTTGCAGAAACATGATTTCGTTAGCCTGGACTAAGTCTAGAGCAATAGTTCTTAACTGAGGGCTACCATGTCATTTACTGCCAGTCACCCACCAAGGGAATGTCTGGCACTGTCCAGACACATTTTGGGTTGTCATAGCTGTTGGTTTGAGGGGTAACAGATCTAGTGGATAGGGGCCAGGACTGCTGCCAAATACCGTGCAATGACTAAGACTTCCCCCATACCAATTGTCTGACTTAAAATATCAATAATGTTAAAATCGAGAAATTCTGTTAGAAAAATAATAGTAAGATAAGCTCTTGGTGAACTTAACATTTACAGTTTAAAATTCTTTCCCTAAAAAAATATGGTATTATTAAACAATGTTATTCCCATTAGTAACATAGGATCACTACTGCTGCTAATGAGTGTCAGGCAAGCAGACTGACACACTTTCCAAGTGTCTGATATTCTGTACCAACAATTCTCTAACTTGAGCAAACATAAATGAGTTATCAGCAAAAGCTTGTTAAAAAATGGATTGTTGGGTCTTAGGGATACAGAGTCAGTAAATCCAAGATGGGACCCAAGGTGTTTTTCTTCTAGTACTTCTAGTGACACTGAAGTTGTTTGTGGGAGAAGTATATTGACTCGTTATTTTCAAGCAACTCCAAAGCACCCAGCACATTTAACTGGGTTTGAACTGAAGCTTGGGAAGCAGAGGTATAGAAAAAAGTCAGATAACGAGTAATGAGTAAGCCTTGTGAGGTTAATCCCAGTCTGTATTTGCTCCTTTTCTTCATTGCTCAAGTAAAAAGATGGGAAAATGCTAGTATCCCAAACACCACAGCTCTAGTTTTGCCTTAGCTGTCTTCATTTCCACCCAGTATACTGAAAAACTACCCATTCCTTAATATTCACCTAACATCTTGGTTTTCTGTTTTAGAGACTCACGACTAAAGTCATTCAAATTTTGGCCCATGCCAACATCAAAGGTTCAAAATATGTAAACATCTCAACATTCCATTTTCAAGGAGCTTATTTGGCACTGAATCAGAATATTCAAAGTTAAAAATACTATAAGAAATGAATGCCACAGAAAATACAAACAAACGAACAAACAAAACAAGAGTAAGTCATAGGTTTCATACCTTGGTAAATTCTTAAGAAACTTAACATTGAAAAAGAAGTAAGTGGCATCAATCATCAGAGTTATCACAATAATGGCGGCATCCAACGTGTTAAGAAAATCAGAAAAATACTGATGGCTCCTGTAATATAATAAAAGGCTTGTCCCTCACAAGAGAAGATAGGTTATTTTTTTGAGTATGAGTTATTTGACTCACCCTCACAAACAATTCTATTTTAAAAAATTAAAATGTGTTTTGTATACTAAATTAAGGTAAAAATAAAACATTAATAGAAATTAATGAAACTCATGAGATTACATTTATTATTGGATTCCTATATATAGCAAAAGCATTACTATGACAATATTGGTATATTGAGGCTAATATTAATGATATAATTGAGATGAATATTAATTAAAATCAATCTATTGAGGATAGTGAGAGATTTAGCAGAAACATTGAATATCAGGCAGGAATTGACAGGGAAGAAAAGCAGGCTGTTAGGCTGCACTACTGAGCAGTAGAATGGTGAATGTGTTCCGGCATTAGAGCACCTTGAACCGTGAGGGGTCTAACAGAGATGCTTGTAAGAAGGGGATTCTATTATTTAACCATGCAAGTGCATGGTCAGGCTTTGAACTCACGCTGGAGTACTAAGGGGCTAGTTTGCCTCCACCATAACTTCCTCCTCAATAGTGGCTCCTACAGACATGGGCACTGGTTCTGCAAAACTTCTTTTGGATTTGGAAGCCCCTTTTAGGCTCTGAGAAGCCCAACTTTGACAACTGTTCTTAATTTAACGGCATGAGGATGGGAAGTTAACAGGAAAGGAGACAGACTGCCTTCTGAGATCCTCTGAATGAAATGAGGCTGGAGAACTGAGTCTTTGACTCCATTATTGGTCATGTCCAAGGCTTGGCTCATGACACACAGCTTCTCAGAAAGCTAGCTAGCAGCAAAAAGCAATGGTGGCTTCATTATCAAGGGTCTCTGATAACATGAGACATATTGCATGTCTTCTCATCTCACTCAAATTTTAATTTTAATTGAAATAAAACAGGGTTAATTCCTATCTCATATCTAGTACTCAGTATACTATTAATTAACATTTATGACTCAATGCTTTTACTAAAGATTTATTCATTTACTTGAAAGGCGGTGAGAGGAACAGGGACACTTTCATCTGCTGGTTCACTCACCTAATGACTTCAACAGCCAGGGCTGGATCAGGCCAAAACTAGGGGCCAACAGCCAGGAAAACACCATGTTTTCCACATGGGTGTTGGAGACTTGGAGGCCCAAATGCTTGGGCCATATTCCACTGCTTTCCCAGAAGTATAGGCAGGGAGCTGGATCAAAAATGGAGCAGCCAAGACTCGAATATGTGATGCTCCAATATGTGATGCCTGCATTGTAAGGTGGCAACCTAGCTCATCGAGTCACAATGCTGGCACTGATTCAACTTTCTGGTTTTTTGGATTTATTTGAAAGGCAGTTACAGAAAGAGAGAAACAGGACGAGGGAGAAATCTTCCATCTGTTGGTTCACTTCCCAAATGGCCACAAGGGCAGGGGCTGTGTGAGGCTGAAGGTGGGAGCATGAACGCAGGGGCCCACACAGTTGGGCCATCATTTTACTGTTTCCCCACGCATGCTAACAGGGAGCTGGATTCCATATGGGATGCTAGCACTGTAACACCTGAACCTGTTACACCACCGCTGGTCCCTATGATTCAACTCTTAGTAAAAGTATCAGTAATTATAGTTCATATACACTTCCTCTTATTTCTTTTAAGTATTTTAAGTTATTTTAATTGTACATATTTATGTTGTACATTGTAATAAGTTGATACATGTTTTTAACTTGTGGGTATCAAATAAGGATAGTTAGCATTTCTCTTTAAACATAATTTCAAAATCTTTAACACTTAGTAATTGTATATACTTAATGTGATACGTCCATAAATGTATATAATATGTACTAATTAGATTGAGATATTAATGTTTCCTGTCTTTATCATTACTTTACATTTGAAGTCTTCAAACCCCTCTCTCCTAATTAAATTCTGGTTTTTTTAAAGATTTATTTATTTATTTTTATTGCAAAGCCAGATATACAGAGAGGAGAGACAGAGAGGATCATCTTCATCCAATGACTCACTCCCCAAGTGACTGCAATGATTGGAGCTGAGCCGATCCAAAGCCAGGAGCCAGGAACTTCCTCCATGTCTCCCACACGGGTGTAAAGTCCCAAGGCTTTGGGCCATCCTCAACTGCTTTCCTAGGCCAAAAGCAGGGAGCTGGATGGGAAGTGGGGCTGCTGGGATTAGGATCAGTGCCCATATGGGATCCCGGTGCGTTCAAGGTGAGGACTTTATAGCCACCAGGCTACCGTGCCAGGCCCTCCTAATTAATTCTTAAAATGCATAATAGGTTATTGTCATCCCACATATTGTAGAACATTAGAACTTATTCCTTCCATCTAACTTTATTTTTGGTACCCTTACCCAACCTTCCTCTTCTTTCTTCCCTTCCCAGCTCCAGTAATCAATTCTCTGTTTAGGTTGACCTTAAGATATTTTTTAGGTTTTACATATAAAAGAGAACATGTAATATTTGTCTCACTTCACTTACCACAATTTCCTCCAGTCTAATCCATTTTACTTAAAATGATTGAATATCATTCTTTCTTATAGTTTAATGGTAATCCATTGTTTGTATATGCCACACTGTCATTCATTCACATGTTGATGGACATGTAGGTTGACTTCATGTCTTGGCTATTGTTAATAGTGTATTAATAGACATGAGAATACAGGTGTTTTTATGATATGCTGAATTACTTTGTATTCATGCCCTGAAGTGTGACAACTTGATTGTAGAATATGTGACATCTATTATTTTAAAATTTGTATTAGCAGGAAGCTGGATGGGATTGTGGAGCTGGGACTTGAACACGGTCATTCAGATGTGGGATGAAGGTGTCTTGAGTAGGGGCTTATCCATCGGACCAAACACCTGCCCCATGGTATATCTGTATTTTTATTTTTTTGAGGAGTCTCCATTCTGCTGTACTACTTTCATTACTGTCAACAGAATAAGAGTTGCCTTTTTCCTGCATCCATACCATCATTTATAATTTTTTATCTTTTTGATAATAGTCTTTCTACCTGGGATAAGACAGAATCTCATTGGTTTTATGCATTAGAGTGATAGCCAGTGACACTGAGATTTTTTCTTAAGTCCGTTCACCATTTGAATTAATTCTTTTGAGCAATGTCTATGCATATCATTTGCATATATAAAACCTGGATTTTTTTTTTCAAGACCATCTTTGTGGTATAATGGGTTAAGCCACTGCCTACCCTAGCAGCATCCCCTATGGGTACTGTGAGACCCAGCTGCTACATTTTCAGTCCAGCTCCCTGCTAACATGCATGGAAAAGCATCAGAAGATGGTCTACATCCTTCAACCCCTGCACTCATGTGGGAGAACTGGATGAAACTCTGCTCCTGACTTCAGCCTGGCTAAGCCTTGGCTTTTGTAGCCATTTGGAGAGTGAATCAGGATATGGAAGATCCAGCTCTCCACACCCCAACTTTCTCTCTCTCTCACTATGCCTTTTACACAAATAGCAAAAATAGTTACATAAATCTGAATTTTCTCTTTACTTCTTTAAGTTATATATATAATAAGCAAATGATATACATACACATCTATGAAGATGATCATAGTTTTATCCCTCATTATTTTATCTTTCATTATTTTGGCAAAATATATAATGTTAATTAATTGACATATGTTGCATCATCCTTGCATCTCTGGGATCAAACCCACTTGTTCATAGTGTGTGATTATTTTGATGTGCTGCTGAAATCAATTTGTTGGTATTTTTGTTAAGAATTTTTGCACCTATATTCAACAGATGATTCTCCTATGTTAATGTACCTGTAGACAAACCAGCTTCCTGTGCCCTATTTAAACTCTCTCCAAGCTTTCTCTGTTGAAAGAAGCTTCTAGCATGCAGTTTTTGGAGACTAGACTGCCATTGCAACAGTAATACCATTAACACCCAATCAATGAAAAACTGGAATGTGAACTGCTATTTTTTCTGTGGACTGTGCTTCTAGGATAATTATTTTGATAAATCGAGACAAATTTGTTTGGACTGATCTACTAATTATTTTGGGATACTTCTTATAACAGTTTAAAATTACTTTGTGCACTTCAAAAAATGAAGAGCTCAAACTTACCCTTCTACGTATACTCTCAGTAGAACATCACATAAAAAAAATAATGCAATAGCCAAAGAAATTGCACGACATCCCAAACCAATTTTGACATCAGTGATAATTAGATCCAAAACGATGAGAAACATGTCCACAAAGACCAACAAAATCCCGAAAATCCTATAATAAACAAAAAGTAAGCAATGGTGATGAAGGTAGAGATTTTTGCTGCATAGATTGGCTATATTTAGTTCAGTAATCAGATATCAATATGTCATTTTTAGGATTAAACCATCAAGTAGAAGGAATAACAGTGTTGCCTCAAAAATCCAAAAGAGAAAAAAAAATCATTCTGTTTTTAGTAATACAAGTAGTTGCTGGTGAATAAAGTCCTCACCAGCCTGTTTTAAAGTATGTTATCTTGCCCTTTCAAAGAAAGCCTAACAACCTGGTTCCTCAAGCTAGAACAGGAAAACAGAATTATATTTCTCTGTGAATTTTTCTTAAAATTTGAGAATATCTTAAGCAATTTTTGCAAATTTTTCATTCAGTTTAAACCTTATTAATCTACAGAACATTTGAAAATTTGGTAATTAAAACCAAATGAAGTCATACCTAACATTAAGTACTTAAAAGATAACTTTGACCAGTATGATATTTTTATCAGTGAGATTTTCAATACATGATTACATATCTGAGTGTTTCTGACATGAAAAGCAATTCATTTCTATCGATATTTTCATTGCTAGTCTAAAGTGCCTTCTGAACCTTACTTTTATAAACTGTAATATATTCCAAGTCAAATGAGAATAACATATTAACAGTAGAAACTGACCAGGCAGCTGCATCTGCTGACACACACAAGAGTTAAGTCTGAGGATTTCCCAGGTAAGGTTTCTTGGGGGACTTCCCTACTAGACTGCTGGCTCAAGACCTGGCCTTAGGGAAAATCACAAGAATATGTGGTCTAACCTTGGAGAACATGTTTTAGGACTGGGCCTCCTCAGTTGCTGACACTCATTCAATAGAGAATACACCCAGATACACAAGGAAGGTAAGACAGCCAGCTCATCTAAGCCAACAGAGGACATTGGGTACCTCATCCAAAGATGGAAAGCGGAACAGGTTAAACAACTCTCCTGGCCAAGCTTTGCAGCAATTGTCTAGGTCTGTGGATACAGTGAAGTAGATCTGGTCAGCCAACAGACCATAGAAAGATTTTTTTCAACCCTGGTGCAACAAAGTTGGCAATGTCTCAGAATGATCAAGTAACACCCTCAGAACATTCTGCCCCATACCAGGTAACCCTGGTAGTTTGACAGCAAGGAGCGGGTCTCTCCCCTTATTTTTCCCCTCCCTTCCTCTCCACTCCTCCCCCCATGGACACAGGAGAAGAAACAAGCTGAAACATTTATCCATTTATCTCACCCATCTTCCTCCACGCCTTGACCCCCCCCCCACCCTAATCAAAGACCCACCTGGCTATGTATGCCTTTCAACCATATAATCAATATTAAAAATAAATTTAAGATACAGTAGACATATCTTTCTGGCTTGTTTTCATATCACTACCCATTGAAATAATGCTATTAAATGTCATATTACATTTGTGTTTGAAAATCTCACATACCTAAATGCAAAGGTTGACACAACCATCCGAGTAATGTTTTTTATGTTGCTGCTAAAAAAAAAAGGATATACAAAGTGAATCATAATTTCCGTTAACAGATATTATAAATTCAATTAAGAAAGGTCCTTAACATATAATTTTAAAAGAAAAATTTTCACAAATTGTAAAACAAAATGCTTTTTGCTTATAACTCAAATTTTCAGATTTCTACAATGTAAAATTTTTATTTGTCAACAAACCACTAAACTTTGGATATTTAGTAACATTTTCTTTGTGTGTAAAGTTCTGGCTCCCATTAAATGGTAATTAAACTTGGGGACATAGTTTATGCTGATAGGGTGTATTTCTGTACCAGCTCTCCCACTAATGGGCAATGGGATCCTGGGCAAGTCATCACTTTTGGACTCAGGTTCCACAGTAATAAAATAAGAGATATCAGGGATGTGTATCAGGCATTCTTATTCTTTAATAATCACTTACTGAAACTAGACATCCAGTGAACAGATAATCACTAACGAGAATAATAACTAGGGTTGCAAATGTACTTTGGAGGTAAGGAATTTTGGTATATATTTTCAAGGGGGGTGGGAAATGCCCTAAAGATTGAGTGCTTGGCATTAATCAAAGGAGGAAAAGCTGTTTGATGTAGTCTCTAGTGGTGCTTCATTTTGCCATATGGCTGAAGACAAGATATCTATTGGGGAACAATTTCCAATCCTGCTAGAATCTCCAACACTAGACACAAATTTCATCCCAAGTGGGATCAGTCTTATAGCCCATGCCCAAGACTTCAGAATGGAGAGCATGGATACTGAGCACCATTTGGGCCCTGACAAAACACGACCTAGATAAAGGCTGTTGGGTCAATCTGAAATACAAGAAATCTTGAACATTTTTAATGTTCCCCTCATCCACCTGCACACATCTTTTTCACTCTGACTTGAGAAGCTAAAGTGTAGGTGGATGAAGGTCTGATAAGTTGGCTACACGAGGTAAAAAATTATTTTAAAGTTTAAAAATAAGAAATTTATACAAAAAGAAGCTCACCTACAGGTAAAAGGAAATTTTAGGGAAAAAAAATGTTAAAACACCCTGCATTGTCACTGATGCTCCTGACAATGAGCTTCTAAAATCTCCATCTTTCTGTATCAATACATGTATGAATGCATGTCTATGTATGCACCTACAAGTGAATTTGTTTATGTACAAAAATGTATTTAGAGCTCACATTTCATCGATGCTTTCATCAGTGGACATTGACGTTATTTCACTTACAGCAGTGCTGAGGGATGTAGAAGTATATAATCAGACACATATAATCTTCTAGATTTTATTTTTGTTCAAATTAGCCTCAGTTACTCTTTATCTTAAAAACTGGCTGACCTTTAAATATCAGCTTTAAAAGTTAAAATGTAGACATGTCAAAAAAGTTGATAAGTCACGATTTAATTATGGTCCTTTACTACTCAACCTAACCTCAATATGTAACAGTGTTATTTCAGAATCCAAGTCGGCAGATATGCATTTCTCTTGTCCCCATCCAACCTGGTGATTCTCAAGTACATTCACTGTCTCAAGCTGCACGACTCATGCTGTTGTCTCTCTTGCCTCTCAGGTAAGGTCAGGTAACTGCATCAACGTGGTAGTGGGTTAAGGTGTGGGCATTCACCCGCCCCCTCCACCTCCCGCCCATGGTAGCGGAGCTCTGGAGAGCTGGGGGAGGCATTCAGGGTTCGCTAGCTTTCTTCTTTTCTGCTGAGGGCTCCTGTCACTGCTACTTCTGTCTTCCAAATGTGTGTCTCTCCGGCCTTGACCTGGTCTGGGAGAGTGAAATGCTGATGCCTTCTTAAAAGTCCGGCTACTAGAAACTAAGGGTGAAGTGCGAGGCAAACAAGAAGTGAAGTCAGTGAAGTAAGGAGTAGAGGTGAGGAAGCAGTGGGGAGAGGGAGTAAGGAGATTCCTCTTTGGACCTGTTCTCCATCTATCTGATGATCCAAAGGACAGAATAGTACATACAGGAGCTTACCATGAAGGAGCATTAGGAATGGTATGGTAGGAACTCTGCTCCCATGATGCTTCTGACGCTTTACATCCCAAATCTGTTTCTCTCGGTCTCTCTCTCTTACACACACGCATACAATTCACTATGTCTTACCTTGTATCGGTGTAGTTACTTAAGGAGGTCTTGATGGTAGATTGTACAGTACTAGAGGATTTTAAAAGTACATAGTAAGATGTTACATGACCTGCTAGACTTACTGTTTTAGTTCACAATGGTTGCAATTACTCTTCATTCTGTAAACTGGATGACCCTCAGAAACTTCATACACAAATTAGTTATTTGGAATAGAATATGACATATTTCATAAAAATTACACTTTATATTATTGTGCTAAGTACTTTAGTCCTGTCAAAAGTGTAACAGTTTATTATTTAAGTACAGTTTTTACTACTGAACCTAAATGCACAGAAGCCGTTCATGATGGAATGTTTGAAATGCAGGTTCAGTTTATAGATACTCTTGTTCCAGTTAATGCATTGCTTCCTAAGACCCGACTTTACTTCCTTACTTTTTCCATCAGGGTTGTCTTTGCTTGCCTTCAGACAGGCTCTAGCAGCTGAAGGACAGAAGCAAGGTACCCTCCAATCTAACATGATGCTCTTTTTGGCCGCGGGGTACTCTCTTATCCAGTTCAGCCAAAAGAAAGGTGCCTACACAGGCTATTGCGAGACCAGTCAGAAGCAATGTCAAAAACGATGTATTACCACAGATGTTTCTATGAACTTTCTAAATCTCCCCCTCTCTATATATATCTAAGTGCAACAGTGCTTGTACATGTACATGCATATATAAATAGTATATATTTATATCTAATGTATTTGTTGACATGTATTCATTAGTATTTATATAGGTATCTCACAGTTTACTAGGTGCTCCATAATCACGTAATGATGCATAATCATATTCAGGAGTCCTATTGGATTTAAAGAAACAAACAGATACCATGTGACTTTCAAATTTAACTTTTGGTCTGGCTAAAGATTTGCAAATTTTGCTTGTCTTTTTCCAAACACCAGCTTTCCATTTTGTTGATTTTTTCTTTTTTTTTTTTTGTTTCTATTTCATTTCTTCCTGATCTGAATCCTATTATTTCTCACCTCCTGTTGATTTTGGTTTTGATTTGTTTTTATTTTATATATATCTATATATATATTTAAAGATTTATTTATTTTTATTGCAAAGCCAGATATACAGAGGAGGAGGAGAGAGAAAGAGGAAGATCTTCCATCTGATGATTTATTCCCAAAGTGAGCACAACAGCCGATGCTATGCTGATCTGAAGCCAGGATCCAGGAACTTCCTTCCAGCTCTCCCACACGGGTGCAGGGTCCCAAAGCTTTGGGCTGTCCTCGACTGCTTTCCCAGGCCACAGGCAGGGAGCTGGATGGGAAGTGGAGCTGCCGGGATTAGAACTGGCGCCCATATAGGATCCCGGGTGTTCAAGGCAAGGACTTTAGCCACTAGGCCATGCCGCCGGGCCCTGTTTTTATTTTTTAAGTCCTTGAGCTTCATCATTAGATCACTCAGTTGATATACTTTTTTTTCTTTTCTTTTTTCTTTTTTTTTTTTTTTTTGGTAATAGAAGCACTTAAGCAAGAATGCCAGACAATGAGATGGCGGTCTTGGCATCAAGCCTTACATGGCATCACATCTCCAGGGATAAAGGCTATTTTCAGTGCTGACAGTTTTTTGTTTTTGTTTTTGTTTTTCTGAAAGCTCCTCTGCTCTCTCTCTACAACTCTTAGTTTCAAGTAAGGTTCATTCTGTCCTTGGCCTACTTTAGTAAAATCTCTTCCCAAAGTATCTGGGTTCCCTAAATGTTTTTCCATTACTAAGAGTGACAATCTACTAATTGGAAGAAGGGCATCCCTGTGATATATTTTTCTTGTACCCACTACAATCTTAAAAGATGGAAGATTAACTACAGATGTTGCAATGTGAAAATTTCCCTCTTGTTGTGGTTATTCCTGGCTTCCTGAATTTCCTGTGTATATTTGTGAATCCATAGCCAAGGGATATATGTGTGTGTATCTGTATATATACATGGTACATATTTATTTTATCTCTCATAATTATTTATTATGCATCTTTATGTCTTCACTTATAGCTCACATTTAATTGAGACATCCAACACAGGTTGATAACCCAGGATATCTAAAGGATTTAAAAGTATGTAAAATCAGATACTACTTAATTTCCTAGACATAACTTTTTGGATCAAATTATATATAATTTATGTACAATTTTTAAACTGGTTGGCTCTTACATCTAAATAACTTATTTGAAAGGTTATCAGCTCACCATACAAATCAACTTTTCTGTGTTTGTAATGAAGATGTTCTCCTGATGAGAAAATTGAATGACTCAAGATTTAAGGTTAATCAGTTACAACTAAGCATGCCCACAATGTAAAAGCATTCTTTCATCTAATTTATTTCTAAGTAATCTGCAGTTCCTGGGTACAGATACCTATTACCCCATCTAATTTCCCTATTCTCATGTCTCTCCACCAACTCTCACCCTCATGGATATCTTCTCTGTTCTCACTGATCAAGGAACTACAGGTCTGAGGAAAAGGCTCCATCCAGTGTGATGGAAGGCTTGGGTTGGAGGCATCAGCTCAACATGCTGGCAAAATTCTGGAAGCTGAAAAACACATGCTGTGTCTCTTGCTTCTATTCTCTTGTGTTGACTGCCTCTCTGGTCCCTATCCATTGCTGCCACCTTCTTGCTCCAGTAAGTCTTTCCTCCAAGGCCACTAGAGACTTTAGTAGAGTTTCATACACAGGAAATCTGAGTTGTCAAAGCATTTAATTATAATTCCTTACTAACAACCTTTTGTGATATAATTCATTTCTAAACCAGTCAAGTTGTACCCATATGATACCCTGCATCCTATTCTCTCCAACACCTCTCCTTACTTTAATCCATCACAGTTGTTTTTCTTGCCCTTGAGTAGCTGCA